AATGTCTACTTATCACCGGATTTTCTTCTAGCACTCCTGATCGTTCTGTGTTAGTGCAAGTTAGTCATGGTTCAGTCCAATTGTTGTCACAGTATTGCTAGATGTTTATCCTAATAAATGGTATCCTCAACAGCTCAGTTGATAGCGACGAAAATTGTGAAGTTCGCACACCGACTCCAAGTAAACGACCCGCCCTGAGGACCAGTTTAGCGCAAGTTCGGAACACTGTTTCAGTTCATCATCTAATTCAACAATATTCCCTCGAAATCTCCCCACAACTCCTACATGAAGTTCACTCCCAAGGGCCGAAGACAAGGTACATCAAACTCCATAGCCAAAGTTTTCGTGGATATCTCTGTCTCGTGGCCGCGAAGAGCAATGCCTGGAAACTCCCTGCCCCGTCTCCGTTGTTGACCTTATTTGATATAAGGACAGTCAATATATCACTAGTAAGAGAAACTCCCTATTTTTGTCACCCATCAGTGGATTGGTAGACACCGAGACTTGGGACCGACTCCTGCTTGCCATGCGTATTACATCGTTTCGACTGGAGGGTTACAGCTATGCTTCTGACAAGCTACTATGCGAGACAAGGACCTTTGTAGGGTCTCGATACTTCTCGTGATCCATAATACACTCAGATCTCTAGTCTTTGACTCTTGTGTAACACGTTGTCGCCGCCATAAAGCCCAAACCTCCCTTCACAAGATCGTTCCTTGCTGGTAGTAATGATATGGAATTGATCCCGCAGTAACTGGGCAGTGGGCAGCATCATGATATATCACGCACCAGTGCAAGTTTTGTTTGAGCGCTTGAAAGGCTGTTCACCATTCCCAGCTTTCCATTCATTTAAACTACGTGTCCGTTACTCGTCTGTGGAATGGCTTTCACGATGCACAGAAAATCCTATCTATATGCTCTATTGCAGGTAACTTTGGCCATCCGAGGGCTGGCATCGCCAGTAGATGCTACTTTGTCTGCCCCTGTTGTCGATCTAGGCTATGCTCAGTACCAAGGATATATCGATTCAACGACTAATATTTCAACTTTTCTGGGTATGCGCTTTGCGGCGCCTCCCATTGGTATGCTTCCGTTCAGCCTCCTTTCATACCTAAGCTGATTTCATTTAGGTGGTCTGCGATGGCAGGCTCCACGACCTCCCGCTAATGTTTCCGGTTTCCAACAGGCTACTGTGGAACCGAACGAATGCTATCAGGCTCCAACTGGGACTGGCCCGACGAATCCTCTAGGAAGCAAGACGATCAGTAAGCGCGATGTAATTCAGTCTGAAGACTGCTTATTCTTGAAGTGGGCACCATTTATATTCGTTCATATAAAATTTAATCTACGTTTCTAGCGTGTATGTTCCTGGGAGTTTACCGGCAGCACCCGCACCTGGTGGTTTGCCAGTCATCGTATGGATCCATGGAGGAGGGTACGGATCCTGAATGGCTCACCTGATATGAGAAGAGCTTTATAACGCTTGTTTTCAGCTACATATCTCAAAGTGCAAGTATGTTCAACGGTGCAGATTTAGTTCAAGATTCAAAAAATGGAGTCATTGTGGTTGTCATTCAGTACCGTCTAGGCCTTTTTGGTACGTGTGCATACTCCTTCTGAACTGTTCTTTGTCTGATTTCTGGGGACGTGGAAAGGTTTCTTACCCGGTGCTGCTGTTAAAGCGAATGGTGCTTTGAACGCAGGTCTTTGTAAGTTTTGGTGCATTTTGAGGTGCATGGGCGCTAAACACTGACCTTGGCTCTTGGTATGCTTTAGTGGACCAAAATTATGCTCTTCAATGGGTACAGAGTCACGTAAGTAGTAGTATATCATATACATGGCGTATGTCATTAGCTTATCCACTTATGGGTGTTAATCTAGATCAGTACTTTTGGAGGAGATCCTACAGAAGTTACTATCGGGGTGAATCTGCTGGTACGTCTTTCAGCTAACACTGTTCCACCAGAATAAAGTCTATACTATCATACTTATATCATCGATCAGGTGCCGGTTCCGTTTTGCAACACATCGTTGCCAACGGAGGGAATACGCAGCCGCCGCTTTTCCGAGCTGTCATGACAAGTTCGACTTTTTTGCCTTCCCAGTACAACTACAGTGATCCAATTCCTGAAGTGAGGCAGCCCTTTTGTGATCATTGTACACCATTTCACCTTTGCTCTTATAGATGTTGTACAGTGAAGTTGTCTCGCAGACAAAGTTCGTTTCCACATCCTGCTGCTAGTGTTTCGTGAGGTGATACATGACGTGTTCATATCCAACCCACAGCTGCACCTCGAGCGCCGATACCCTCTCTTGCCTTCGCAACGCCAATACTAGTGTCCTCGAAACCATCAACACTAACTTCAATTTGAACGGATTTTTCGGTACATTTGTCTTTGTCCCTGTCGTTGATGGCACGTTCATTGTAGAGAGACCAAGTGTAACCATTGGCAAGGGGCAATTGAATGGAGTAAGCTTACTTCCCTCGCTGTCTGACGAGCTTGCTGAAGTAATCGTTATCTGCAGGAAGTCCTCCTGGCTGTAACAAACACTTTTGAGGGCACTGATTTTGTGGAGAGCAATTGGAGTGCCAACATTAGTGAATATGTAACAACGTTGTTCCCAGATTTCGGGCCTGCACAGGCTGCAGGAGCCGCTCAACAATACGGAAGCACAGGGACGGCGCTTGAACAAGCTATTGGAGCTATGGGTGAATGTGCGATGAACATATTCTTAGGGCTATTTCTGCTCTAACGCTCTTATTTCTAGCCATCTTTATTTGCCCGACTTATTACTTGCTTCAAGCTTTCGGAAGTCGTTCGTGGAAGGTATCTTTTTTGCTGTTTTTCTTTGTAAAGTGGCATCTGACCTTTGTAGGGAGAGTTTGCTATCCCTCCTGGTGTTCACGCCGAGGATGTGCCATATTATTTCACGTCGTAAGTGCTCGACTCATTGTTCAGATTATACGAATTCATTAAACGGTTTCTATGACGCTGCTTTGAAAGGCAAAACCCAGCGTACAACAATACTCAATTTATCACTGCTTTCTCGCAATCCTTTATTGCAGTCGTACAGTCACTCAATCCGAATGCAAAGTTCGACGGGTCAAATATCACGCCTCTCTGGAACGCCTGGAGCGCCAACAATACAGAGATGTTATTTAACGAGACTGAAGCAGGTGCACCAGTTGTACAAACCACAACGACGGATGATGCTCTACTTCAGCGGTGCGCGTGAGTGTCCTAGTTTAATATACTCACCTATATTTCGAGTTGCACTTAACTTGCGTATTCAACGTGTAGATTCTGGAATAGTGTCTCTGCGTACACTTCACAATAGAGTGATGTGCCTCTTACGCCACGATAGCTGATATCTCGACGATCGTGACCATGGGTACATTGTAATATATTAGATCTCTAATAAGTGCTATGGTATATCATGTGTAAAATGAACTATTACTATTTGTCGTGAAGGACGCCCCCGTGAGTTGACGCGTCTGGATATGAGACTACTTTATGGTAAGCTCTGACGCAGAAGGTTGGCGAGACCTCAGAGATTGGGTTGGGAGGTGGGCACTGAGCTATGTAGTATGTTGCCTTGAGAGTTGCCTACTAAGAGTATTTACACGTGACTATAAGCGCGTGGCTTTTTCGCGACAAAACTTTGACCTGTTAGACAAATCCAGATAGCGGGTTCTAAAATCATCCTCATGGCTGGGCGCAGGTCCCTATTTGAGGATACTAGGCAGGAGCCATCTGCCTCTCACAGCCAAGGTATGATATTCTTTGTGTTGGGTCCACTTCTGCATCTGACCTCGATGCATCATATTGCGAAGTACTACGACGTTCATCGAGACGCTCGAGCAGCGTACCTGCTCAGGGAAAAAGGACTTCGAAACTGGGTGAGTGGTTCGTTCAGCTATTCCTGGTATACACGAACTGATTGCATATCTGGAGACCAGACTGTATCTTGATGCCCCCAAGCCCCGAGTCAAAGAAAAGAAGTGAGCGCTCTTGTGGCATCTGTCAATCAGGGTACTCAGACATCATTACCAGAATACTCTACAATGGGTCAGCCTACTAGTACGGAGGTACCTAGCAGTAAGTTGACATCGTCTCAAGCTAGTGAGTAGTGAACGTGATCCGTTACGGAGAAGGAAGTCTCACAGGTTCTCCCAGCACCATCACGTAGATCGCAAAGGACACCCAGAAAATCACGACCTTCATCTTCAAGAGGTTACGACCCACATTCTCCTGGTGACGAGGCTAGTCCTCCCAAGAAGAGGCAGAGACGGGCCACCTCCACTCCCCTTATTCGCACTTCTAAACAACCCACTAAATTAGCGGCTGCACTTGCAAATAGCCGTCACACACGAAATTCTTCCATTGGATTGCTCACCCCATCGTCGTCCATGGATTCTCTACCTAGTCGGGCATCTGCTCGACTTAGAGGAAAGATCCATCCCTACATTAAAACTCGGACTCAGGATATATATGCATCCTTAGCTGCAGAAAATAGCGAATGCAATGGATCCCCGCAACCAGCGCAGAATATTACAAGCGGCATAAATGAATTGCAAATTGCAAATGTAACGCTTTCCCCATCTCATAAGAGGACATCAGTATCCAAAGCAGCCGAAACTAACGGAGACCACGTTCGAGCATTGATCATGGAACAGTGGGCGAGGGCGAGGTTATCTCAAGGATCCACGCTAGACATATCAATGGAACCTACCGATCAGTTACTCGACTCACCTAGGTCTACCCAACCAAACGGCACCGGTTCTGTGTTGTTACCAGAAGCGATTGATACTGGCGCTCGATACAGCCCACCTGAATCTTCATGCCCGTCACTTTCGTTTCCTGATACGGATACATCATTCATTGTCGAGGAACAAGAAATTGAACCTACTGAAAACGTTGATAGGATTGTAGTTGATGAATCTACACAAACTCTCAGGACAGAAGTTAACAGTCCATTACGTGCTTCCACTGGTGTTCAAACTACACTTAGTATGATGACGACTCCTCTGCGTGTTGTTCGTTCACCAGGTTCTCGTCATGCAGACCACTCTGTCCACGAGCTTAGCTCGCCTGTGGCCGGACCCTCAACCAGTCCACTGCATAGTGCAATAGACTCTGATGATTCTTTCGACTTCCGTATGCTTGATATGCCTGAGGTTGTTTCATTACCGTGGGTTCCTTTGGACTCTCGTGAAACAAGGGTTTATATCCCTTCTTCCGTTCATCAGCTCGTCAACAGTAAGTTCCCTTTCTCATCATATCCAACAAGGGTCAAACTGTCGCTTATTATCTATAGACATGAAGCATGAGCTAGAAATGGAGGGTAGAGCACGCCGAAAAGCTGAAGATTTACATTTGGAAGAACTGCGTAAAAGGGTTAAACTAGAGGTTATCATGGATAGTCTGCGAAACGATTGCGCTAGGCTTGTATCGTCTCCCACATTCTCTACCGTTTCCCCATCACTTCCCTCGTTCACTGGCCCTCCTCTACATAGTCCAACCGTTCCAGACATGATCAGCTCAAACCAGAACTCTTCAGCCATAGAACAACACAAGGGTAAATCTCAAACCGATGATACTGCTCCAGTGCCCAATTTAGATCAAACAACGGAACCCAGCATTGGCGGAGGCCAAAGCGATTCGATGAGCCAACAGAACGATGGCACTGCCTCGCAACATTCTCCAATTTCCTCGCCTACACCAAGCACCCCTTCAAAAGCTCAGCGGTTACTTGCAGGCAAGTTCCTTTTGTTATCTTTTTTGTTGCCTACGATGTAAGCGCATGCCCTTTTATCAGTCATACAGGACAATATCAATCGACTCGTTCCCTCCGCGCCCCACGACGAAAATGGCGATGCCTTAGCAGACTCGTAGGATTCGTTCTTTAAAGATGAATGAACATGTATTGATGCACTGTGCTTTGTATTCCTAGGAATCATGTGCCATCATCAAGCATATCTTGACATTCCCATACGCCCTTATGGCGACCGTAAATATTCTCCTCACAAGTCCTATACGCACTCGCATACCATCAACTTCTCCAGACCGGACCAGTCCTCGTTTTTACTGGTATACCAATTCATCTTTCAAATGCATTAAGATCGCGGCCTGGAGCTGGACTGTTAAACACTACATCCACTATAGTCGATGTGCTAGTTTTACTCGCCATGACTACTATTCAATAGACTGGAATATGTTGTAACATTAAGTAGAACATTTGCTCCTCGAGCACGAAAAGGATTGAACCTGTTATACCAGTGTTTGACCAAAGGCAACTCGTTATCAGGGCAGCGAACTTGAGGGACACGAGAATAAGTAGGAGGTAAGCCCAACAGTCAATAAATGAGACTCAAGATTTGGAGAGCAAAAAAAATAAGAGCAGAGGCGCGCACCTGATGCTGTCTACTGGCATCGCCTCTTGAGCATAATGGCATGGGATAGATCGTACAGACTCGGCATGATGTATATCAGAGACGAGATGCGGGGCATCACTGTATGTCCGAGGTATCATTGCTGGATCATGAATGTTGGTCTGCGTCTGTGGCGGATGTTCTAACAGCGATCGTGGTTATTCAGCTATCAGCCACAAAGGGCTATGTGAACGCTGATACAGCGATGATAGAGCTTTCAACTCGTACCTATCTGATAACTGTCAGTCACAGAGGCGCAGTGTTTAACCGCTCTGGGATAAATTCTTGATCCAGTCACTAAGATCAATGTATGGAATAAAGGGAATCGTATCCTAAACACGGTTGGCACCTTGTTCTTATTTTTATGGTTATGGTGCAGCCCTAATGAAACCCACTCTATATCATTTCATCACACGCATCATGTGCAGAGCCCTCTTTATCATGATATCCAGCTGAGATATATCAAAAGAATTCGACACCAAGTCTTTATATACAGTACCAATAAGCAGATTCTCTGTCTCTGAACACCTTTCATGTCTATTCCAATCATACCTTCTTCAGTCACACTGCCCTCGTTCGCGGATGTTTATGGTGAATCCAATTTGCTCCGCAGAATGACCATTGATAAATTCTACTTGCAGGCGCTGCACTTGTTGGTTCATGGGTAGCAATGGGCCTTTACGGACTTACGACGACACAGGCATGTCCCAGCTATTTCCAGTTGTTATCTTCGGCTCACAGGACTACAGGCATACATATATTGGGTTCACTATCCAAAAGATAGCCCATGGACAAAATCATTGGTGTGTTCACCGACATAAATGACTCATTAACCCTTGATGGCAGGATTAACGTCTTCTTTAGGTTGCATTTCTTTGGTACGTCCTAGCTGACTAACGCTAGCACCTTAACCTGACTCTGGACTGCTTCTGACATCAGGGTTTTGGGCACAATACACTCTATTTGCAGTATGAAGGCCTAGCCTCCATCCATGAATCGCTGACCTAACATATTTCTTCCAGTGTGTCATGCTACTTATTTCCACCTGGTCAGTTTCTGTCTCCGCTCCGTTGTTTCATTCTTGAATATGATCACTTACAATATAACAATTTTACGATTGCAGATAAAAGTAGAGTCAGACATTCTGGTAGCTCTCAGTAATATATGGTATGTTTTGAATCTATCGGGATTGGATTACTTTGTTGATTCTGATATATGTACAGGTCATTCAATGTATGTATCCCAGTAAATAAAGTCCCACGCCAGTCACTGAAGATATGGCTCGGACACAGGCGGCTGTTCTTTTATATGTAAGTCACCATCGTGGCTTTTAAGTGAAGGCCAAGCTAACTAACTGTGCTTTCTTGATTTCAAGATCATATCTTACATCACCGTGACTATGTGAGCGCTACCACACATAAAGCTCCCTTGATCTCATTTTATTCTTAGTTACTACATAAATATGATCTTTCAATGTGCGCCCTGTCAAGATTCTATTTTGCTGAAAAGTTCACCCCCACTGTAGTGAGCAGTGACCGCTTTCGCTGGTGGCTGACTGGAATACTTGTTTGTTTTCCTATCGATATATCGGCTAAGCTGACCTATTTTCCCAACAAGGCACTCCCTGCTTTATCTTTTCTTGGTTAGTATGAGATACCTTCAGCCTGTACCTTGCCTGCTAATTGAATGCTTCACACCAAACAGCTCTTGCATTAGGTTCGTGATTTTAACCACTTGAAAAGCATTTTCTTATCGACATATCAATGTATGCAGACACTTGTATCCACGGGTACGTATATATTTTAATTAAAACGGTAAACCTAACTGATATTGGCGATAGATTCATATCACCGACCGTCATTATCTTGTCGGAAATTGCTGTAAGACTATGCCTAAGAATTCCTGCGTCTAGGACATTTAGATCCTTCCAACAGCATGATACGATTATGCCTGGCTTTGCGCTGCAATGCGTTTCAGATGGATCAATCACCATATCCTTGTGTTTACTTTTGTACGGGAAACGGACGAGTTTTCAGAGGTAGACATCGTTTTATCTTTTCCATTGTGGAAACACAAGATTGATCGTTAAAACAGGACACGCCACATCCTAAACAACTTGATAATCTATGCTGCAAGCAGAGGTTTGATAACTTTGTGCGTAGCTCAGTCTCTTTCCGACGCTGTGAAACTTGAAAATTTACTACTAGACTGGTCACACTCGTCATGGTCCTTGCAGTATGTCCTCCGTTTTGCTACTTTATTATTTTCCTCACGGTCATCGCCAGATTGCTATAAACCCTGATCAAATGTGGTATGGTGGGATTCAATTCGCTTTAGTCGGCCTCTACACAAATTCTCTCATGACGATGTTGAACGCACGACGGCCATCCAGTGATACAACAGATGCGTCTCTTGAATATGGCATGAACCAAAAATCTCACTTTGGTGCGTCTGGTGGGAAGAGTGAGAATAATACTAGTGTGGACATTGTTGTAAAAAAGCCGGCGAATGTGGAGTTCATTGTGCTTGGCAGGAATGGGACCAATAACAGCGAATGATAAGGTAGGCTATGTGCTGGTTAATCGTAAATCACTTGTTCTTAGCTGATTATATTGGTGTTGCAGTTGAACGGAATTGAAGTCATCAGTGTAAATGTCATGCAAGGGTGGCACTGGCCCGACTATAGTTCCATAAAAAAAGTTATCTTCTCTCCAGTCCAGCATGCACTATCATTCAGATTTGCTACCATAATTTATTTTTAGAAGCTTGTATACTATCTGAATCTTTGAGTAGAGAAGACTGATAAAACCAGATAAACCAAACCTGGTCTCTGCTGAAGTGGCCATTGTTCTCCATGGAGCATAGCAACCACTCTCGCCATTGTACTCCTAGGAGTCTTTATACCTTAGCAAGTACCACCTCGACTATAAGTAGTAGGGGGTTTAGTATAGAAATACCTCAGTCGTTTCTATAGCCTCTCAGGCAGCGGCTGAGTTTCTCTTAGATCCATTAGGTTATGAGCCCTGGTGGCGCAAAAGCTACACAGGAAATAATTCTCATTTGAAACAGCAACCTCAGAACCATGACCACAGCACATGATACCTCTGCATGTCCAATTCTCACTGGACCCAACAATTTCCAGATATGGAAACTCCAGATCATCTCCAAGCTACATCGGGAAAAGGTTCTCCGAGTTGTTGCTGGAGAGGAGCTTAAGCACTCACCAGGAAAGTCCCACCCTTGGCAGCACTTGACAAAACCGGATAAACCTGGTCTCTGCCGAAGCAGCCATTGTTCTCCATGGAGCATAGCCACCACTCCATGGAGTAACCATTGTTCTCCTAGGAGTCATTATACTGTAGTGAGTAGCACCTCCAACTATAAGTAGTAGGGGGTTTAGTATAGAAATACCTCAGTCGTTTCTATAGCCTCTTGGGCAGCGGCTGAGGTATGTTACATTACATTTATTAGAGATCACCTTAAACTAACATCCATTGTAGTTTCACATAGGTAAATAATACAGTCGTTTCTATAGCCTCTCGGGCAGCGGCTGAGTTTCACTTAGTCTTATTACTTGAAAGTGCTAATAAACCTATGTGAAACTCAGCCGCTGCCTAAGAGGCTATAGAAACGACTGAGGTATTTCTATACTAAACCCCCTACTACTTATAGTTGGAGGTGCTACTCACTACAGTATAATGACTCCTAGGAGAACAATGGTTACTCCATGGAGTGGTGGCTATGCTCCATGGAGAACAATGGCTGCTTCGGCAGAGACCAGGTTTATCCGGTTTTGTCACTCCCACTCAAGTGCAACCGTAGTCCCATAGCTTTAGAGAATTTCCGGTGTTTTTCATGAGTGAGGGGTTTAGTGAGAATGTCTGCAACCATATCTCCTGTAGGAATGTATCTGATTACTGCCTCTCCCTTTGATACTAAGTCATCTTGGATAAAATGATATTTCCGTTGAATGTGTTTTGTGCTAGCACGGAACTGTGGATCTTGTGTAAGAATGATAGCTGCTTGATTGTCACATTGCAATGTTGTAGGTCCATTTTGAGCATGTCCAATTTCTTCAAAAAATGTCCGAAGCCATGCAAGGTGTTGTCCGGCATTGCTCAATCCAATGTACTCTGACTCCGTGGAGGATAAAGCTCCCATGCTTTGTCTTTTGCTTGTCCAGGAGATTGTTCCTCGGATGGTGATAAAGACAAACCCTGATGTTGCTCGAGACGTGTCTGGGTCTCCAGACCAATCTGCATCCGAATATCCATAGAAATCCATGTCCATGGAGACATCTGTGCCATCATATTGTAGTTCCATGTCCCTGGTTGCTTTCAGATATCGGAGGACACATTTTGCAGCTTCCCAGTGATGGCTCCTTGGAGCTGAGCTATGCCTGCTTAGTATTCCAACGACGTAGGCAATGTCTGGGCGGGTTCCGAGCATGGCATACATGAGGGAGCCTACAATTGAGAGGTATGACACTTGACGCCCTTCAATATGCATCTCGTGTTGCACAATATCTTCCCCTGGAGCATTTGCAAGGAGTTTTGATCCATGGGCCATTGGTGTCCATACTGGTTTGCAGTTCTTCATTCCAGTACGCTCCAGGACTGTGTCAATGTATTGGCGTTGCAATAGGGATATTGTTTTGTTTGAACAATCACGTTGGATTTCTATTCCGAGGATGTATTTTGCTTCTCCAAGGTCCCGCATTTTGAACATGGATTCGAGTTTGGCTTTTGTGATATCCATGAATTTCCGGGATGAAGCTCCTAGGAGGAGGTCATCTACATAGACAACAACAAAGCATATTTGTTTGTTGTCCCGGAATACATAGAGACATGTTTCTGCATTTAGTCTTGTGAAACTGAGCTCCTGGAGCTTGTGATCAAAAGTTTTGTTCCATATACGACCAGCTTGTTTTAACCCGTAGATGGATTTCTTCAATCTCCAGCAGTATCCAGGTTGGATAGGAACACCCCCTGGAGGAAGCATGTACAGTTCTTCTTCAAGTTCTCCATTGAGATAAGCTGTGAATACGTCCATCTGATCAAGTTCTAGGTCGTACTTTGCTGCCAGGGCTAGAATAATTTGGATTGACTCTAAGTTTGCAACCGGAGCAAAAACCTCCTGGTAATCAATCCCCTCCCTTTGAGTAAAACCTCGTGCAACAATCCAGAGTTTGTATCTCTCAATGTTTCCGTTTTGATCAAACTTGATCCGGAACACAGGTTTTGATGTGATGGGTTTTACTCCCTTCGGAAGTGGAACAGTGTCATATACTGCATTAGTATTGAGATTTAGGAGTTCCTCCTCCAAGGCAGACTTCCATAATTCTCCATCCGGACGTGATAAGGCTTCCTTTAGTGTCCTTGGAAGGTCTGTGTTAGATGGACCAGTACTTGCTATTCCGGCAAAGAATGTCTCCTCTGTATCAGATGTTTCTTCATGAACCTCAGGAGTGTTAGGTTTCTCCATGGAGTTGTCATGCTGCTCTTTTCAAGACTGTTCCTGATCTAGAGTCCTTTGATAATCTCGGTTTTTGTCTGCAGGACGGGTCTGGCAACTGCTTCTGCATACTCCTAGGACTTCAGCAGGCATGATTGCTCTTTTAGGAACTTGTGCAGGTACTCCAGGGAGTAGACACATTTGTGTATTTGTTGCCCCACTCACTCCTGAAGGTGTTGAATCACTCCTTGGAGGTGTTGGATGACTCCTTGGAGGTGTTGTATGCCTTCCAGAAGCTGATCCAATGGACAGGCTGTCTAGCTGTATTCGGACTTTTTCCACATCAGCTGGCTGTCCTCTCACTGACTGTAACTCTACTTTGGCTTTCCGTTCTGAAGATGGCCAGTGTTCAGGTCTTGGTTGTAGAGACTGTTGTGGAGGGTGTCTTAGCTGATCAGGTGCTCCCACTGCTCTCAGAACGTCTCCACGGAGGTATTGCCCCACTGCTCTCGGAACATCTTCATGCTGATATGGTTCCATTGCTTGTGGAACATCTCCTTGGAGATGTGGTTCCATTTGCAATTCATTTGGATCTCGGATCCGAGGGTCAGGATCATCCTCCTCCAATGTTTTTTGGTCTGGATAGTAAGCATTCTCTGGAATGAGTCCCTCCCACTGATCTGTGCTAGTGTCTGTGTTCCAGGGAGCAGTGTCATCCTTTTGTACCTTTCCGGATTCATTGAATATGACATGCCGACTGGAAAACACAGTTCGTTTTTCAGTGTCTAGGAGTTTGTAGGCTTGCTTTCCATGTGTGTAGCCAATCATTATGGCTTTGCGCCCCTTGGAGTAAAACTTCCCTTGCCTTTTGTCTTTCGGAATCAAGGCATATGCTTGGTGACAAATTATGACATTTGTTTATAGTATGAGAAAACATGCATTGGCCAGGGCTTGAACCTGGGACTCCAGCTTTCATGGTCTGGTGCTTTACCAACTAAGCTACCAAGGCGTACTTGGAAAGCATACTGATTGGTTGCATGCCCAGAAGGTCCAGAACCACTGTGCACGGGTGCAAATCTCATTGTGTTGTGATACTTGGCATCCGAAAGGGTGAAACAAAGTTGGATCAACTCTCCTTTTAAACAGTATTTCATATGGGGTCTTTCCATGGAGTCCTGATGCTGGGCTGCGTGCTGTAATATATGCAGCTGTTTGCATGGCATCTACCCAAAATGACTTTGGGAGCTTGGAATCATGGAGCATAGTGGTTGCTAATGTAGCTAATGTCTGATTCATGCATTCTGCAATGCTACTTTGTTCCAGAGTATCTGCAGCTGTAGTTTCTTGGAGTACACCATCTCCTTGGAGTTGATTTTTGAATGCATTGCCAGTATATTCTCCTCCCCCATCGCTCCAGAGGAATTCTGTGTATAGTGGAGTGAAGTTTTTTTCTCCCAAATGAGTCCGGAAGAATGTTTGGACATCTTCTTTCCATTGCTTGTATTGTTCCAGTGCTTCACTTTTGTGTTTTAGTAAATATATCCATGGAAATTTGGAGAAATCATCTATAATGATAATCCAGTACCAAAAACCCTCCCTGGAGGTTGGTTTGATTGGTCCTCCAACATCTGTGTGCACAATTTGTATGGGACGCTTGGCTTGGTTTCCTCCAGTGGACTTGAAAGGTAATTTCTTCATCTTTATTAAAGCACAAGGTTCACAAAACTCCAGGGTTCCGGTAAGGGTGTCTATGTCCTGGAGCTGTCTTTTTGTAACCATTTGTTGCAAGCGGTCCATTCCAATGTGTCCCATTCTCCTGTGCAATACATTTACATCTACTGCTGCAAAAGCTGACTCTGGGTTGATTTCAGGGTTTGCTTGGATGTGATAAAGTCCTTGCTTGTGTAACGCAGTGAGGATAAGTTCCTCCTTTTTCCGAACTTCACAAGCATTTGACCCTGCTGGAAAAAGTGTTGATAACCCCGTTTTGGACAATTTGTGGACAGAGACGAGTGCTAACGTGAAGTTTAGCACAAGTAAGACATTTGACAGTGCATTATTGTAGTCCTTTTTGCCAACAGTTGCTTGTAGGATTACTGTTCCAATGCCAATGGCATTTACAGAGGATTCATCCCCAAAACTGATTGTCCTCGGAGGATGCAGAACATGGTATGTTCCTGGCTCAAACCAGGAGCGGTGAGGGACCATGTGGGATGTTGCTCCGGAGTCAATAATAATTGTTGTTTTGGTCTTATCGAGTTCCGACACAAGGTAAGCTTGAATGTGTTTAGCAAGGGGCTTGGAAATATGTACATGTTCCAATGCAATATGACTTTGTTCCTCCTCGGAGTCAGATCCAGATGATTGCTCCGCCATATTTGCCTTTTCCTTCTCTTTTCCTTTATCCTTGTGTCTTTCCTTTCCCTTCTTCCTTTGACCTTTTTCAGCTGACTGAAGTGTTTGACACTCCGAGGTGTTGTGTGATTTGGCTTTGTGGAAGTTACACCATTTCTCCTCGGATTTGAGTGCTAATTTGGAACCTCCAGGGGCCTTCCCTGACTGTCGTGCAACTTCTGCAGTGATCCGGATCTCAACTGCATCAAAGGTAAGTTTATTTTCTTCAATCATGTTGATTACTGATGACTGAAATATTTCAGGAGTGCATGGGAGAGATTGGAGAAGAGCGAAAGCCATGAGTTTGGTATCAACTCCTAGTTTCATTCCGGAGAGGCGTGAATCAATTGTCCGGATTTTCGCAATGTGGTCCTGGATAGGTGATGTCCCATCCCAGGACAATTTGGTGAGTTGCTGGAATGAATAGAAGGCCGAGGCAATATTGGACGTTTGATGGAGTGAGACAAGTTTATCAAATAACTCCTTGGAGCTGGTGAGGTCTCCAGTCCTCATTAGGAGGGCATCAGAGATGTGGTCCTGGATGATTCCATGTACCTTCTCATCCTTAAGTATCCAGGTGATCTCAGGATCCTCCGAGGAGGTAGGTTTTCCTGGTGAGGGCTTAAGCTCCTCTCCAGTAACAACCTGGAGAACTTTTTCCCAACGTAGCTTTGAGATGATCCGGAGTTTCCATATCTGAAAATTGTTGGGTCCAGTGAGAACTGGACATGCGGATGTATCGTGTGCTGTGGTCATGGTTCCAAGGTTGCCGTTTCAAATAAGAATTATTTCCTGCGTAGCTTTTGCGCAACAGGGCTCATAACCTAATAAGACTAAGTGAAACTCAGCCGCTGCCCAAGAGGCTATAGAAATGACATTATTATTTACCTAAGTGAAACTACAATAGATGCTAGTTTGAGGTGATCTCTAATAAATGTAATGTAACATACCTCAACCGCTGTCCGAGAGGCTATAGAAACGACTGAGGTATTCCTATACTAAACCCCCTACTACTTATAGTTGGAGGTGCTACTCGCTACAGTATAATGACTCCTAGGAGTACAATTGTGCTCCTAGGAGAACAATGGTTACTCCATAGAGTGGTGGCTATGCTCCATGGAGAACAATGGCTGCTTCGGCAGAGACCAGGTTTATCCGGTTTTGTCATCAAGAGGCTCCCAGGTCTTACAGATGGGGTTTCTATGTTAGCAATAACCAATCTGAAAGACCACCCTCTCTGAAGAGGGTCCCTCTAAAATCCCAATATATTTTTTGTCCTCAACTTGTTGTTTCAAGGTTTTACATAAATATATGTGGAGAGTATGCCCATATTATTATGATCATTATTATAATACACCAAAATGTTAACCTCTTTGTACACTCTTTAAGAGCCTCTGTTAGAGCCTCTCTCAGACCTCATTGTGAGCCTCCCCATCAATACATCAAAGGAATGTTCCAGATGAATGTCCCAAATATGGATATAAATTATTCCTTTATGGTAAGGGTGAAAAGGCACATGGAACCATCCAGGACCACATCTCTAATGCCCTCCTAATGAGGACTGGAGACCTCACCAGCTCCAAGGAGTTATTTGACAAACTTGTCTCACTCCATCAGACGTCCAACATTGCCTCGGCCTTTTATTCATTCCAGCAACTCACCAAATTGTCCTGGGATGGAGCATCACCTATCCAGGACCACATTGCAGAAATCCGGACTATTGATTCACACCTCTCTGGAACTAGGAGTTGATACCAAACTCATGGCCTTCGCTCTTTTCCAATCTCTTCCATGCACTCCTGAATGGCAAACATTTCAGTCATCTGTAATCAACACAATTAAAGAAGATAAACTTACTATTGATGCAGTTGAGATCCAGATCACTGCAGAAGTTGCACGATAGTCAGGAAAGGCTCCTGTAGGTTCCAAATAGCACTTAAGTCCAAGGAAAAATGGTGTGACTTTCACAAAGTCAAATTGCACAACACCTTGGAGTGTCAAACACTTCAGTCAGCTGGAAAAGGTCATAAGAGGGAAAGGAGAAACACAAGGATAAAGGAAAAGAGGAGAAAAAGGCAAATATGGCAGAGAAATCATCTGGATCTGACTCCGAGGAGGAACAGAGTTATATTACATTGGAACATGTACATATTTCCAAGCCCCTTGCTAAACACATTCAAGCTTACCTTGTGTCAAAACCCAATAAGACCAAAACAACAATTATCATTGACTCTGGAGCAACAATTCACATGGTCTCTCACCACTCCTGGTTTGAGCCAGGAACATACAGTACTATGTTCTGAACCCTCCGAGGACAATCAGTTTTGGGGATGAATCCTCTGTAAATGCCATTGGCATTGGAACAGTAATCCTACAAGCAACTGTTGGCAAAAAGGACTACAATATTGCACTGTCAAATGTCTTACTTGTGCCAAACTTCACATTAGCATTTATCTCCGTCCACAAATTGTCTAAAATGGAGTTATTAACACTTTTTCTTTGAAAAAAGAAAGAACTCATCCTCACTGCCTTACACAAGTGAGGACTTTATCACATCCAATAAAAACCTGAAATCAACCTGGAGTCAGCTTTTGCAGCAGTGGATGTAAATCTATTGCACAGGAGAATAGGACACGTTGTAATGAATTGCTTACAATAAATAATTATGAAAGGACAACTCCAGGATATAGACACTCTTACCAGAACCCCAGAGTTCTGTGAACCTTGTGCTTTAGGAAAGATGAAGAAATTACCTTTCAAGTCCACTGGAGGAAACCAAGCCAAGCGTCCCATACAAATTGTGCACACAGATGTTGGAGGACCAATCAAACCAACCTCCAGGGAGGGTCTCCAATACCGGATTATTATTGTAGACAATTTTTCCAAGTTTCCATGGATATATTTACTAAAACACAAAAGTGAAGCACTGGAACAATACAAGCAATGGAAAGAAGATGTCCAAACATTTTTCCGAACTCATTTGGGAGAAGAAAACTTCACTCTACTGCACACAGAATTCCTCCGGAGTGATGGGGGAGGAGAATATACTGGAAATGCATTCAAAAATCAACTTTGAGGAGATATTGTACTCCAAGAAACTACAGCTGCAGATACTCTGGAACAAAGTAGCATTGCAGAATGCATGAATCAGACATTAGCTACATTAGCAACCACTATGCTCCATGATCTCAAGCTCCCAAAGTCATTCTGGGTAGATGCCATGCAAATGGCTGCATATATTACAGCACACAGCCCAGAATCAGGACTCCATGGAAAAAGCCCATATGAAATACTGTTTAAAAGGAGAGTTGATCCAACTTTATTTTGCACTTTTGGATGCCAAGCATATGCCTTGATTCCAAAAGACAAACAGCAAGGAAAGTGGGGCGCAAAGCCATAATAATTGGCTATACACATAGAAAGCAAGCCTACAAACTCCTAGGCACTGAAAAGTAAACTGTGTTTTCCAGTCAGCATGTCATATTTAATGAATTTGGAAAGGTACAAAAGGATGATTCTACTCCCTGGAACACAGACCCTAGCACAGATTACTGGGAGGGACTCATTCCAGAGAATGCTCACTATCCAGACCAAAATACATTGGAGGAGGATGATCCTAACCCTTGGATCCAAGGTCCAAATGAATTGCAAATGGAACCGCATCTTCAAGTAGATATTCTACAAGCAATGGAACCATATCAACATGAAGATGTTCTGAGAGTAGTGGGAGCACCCAAGCAGCTAAGACACCCTCCACAACAGTCTCTACAACTAAGACCCGAACACTAGCTATCTTCAGAACGGAAACTCAAAGTAGAGTCACAGTCAGTGGGAGGACAGCTCTTAAATATACAGCCAGCTGATGTGGAGGAAATCTGAATACAGCTAGACCGCCTGTCTATCAGATCAGCTTCTGGAAGGCATACAACACCTCCAAGGAGTCATCAAATACCTCCAAGGAGACATTCAACACCTTCAGGAGTGAGTGGGGCAACTCACACACAAGTGCCTCTGCTACCTGGAGTTCCTGCACAAATTCCTCAAAGAGCAGTCATGCCTGCTAAAGTCCTAGGAGTATGCAGAAGCAGTTGCCAGACCCGTCCTGCAGACAAAAACCAAGATTATCAAATGACTCTAGATGAGTAACAGTCTCGGAAAGAGCAGCACAACAATTTTATGAAGAAACCTAACACTCCTGAGGTTCCTAAAAAAAATGTCTGGCACAGAGGAGACATTCTTTGCTAAAATAACAAGCACTGGTCCATCTAATACAGACCTTCCAAGGACACTAAAAGAAGCCTATCACGCCCAGATGGAGAACTATGGAAGTCTGCCTTGGAGGAGGAACTCCTATGTCTCAATATTAATGCAGTATATGACACTGTCCCACTTCCAAAGGGAGTAAATCCTATCACATCAAAACCTGTGTTCTGGATCAAGTTTGATCAAAATGGAAACATTAAGAGATGGGGTTTTACCTAAAAGGAGGGGATTGATGACCAGGAGGTTTTTGCTCCGGTTGCAAACTTAGAGTCAATCCAAATTATTCTAGCCCTGGCAGCAAAGTATGATATAACAATCCACACCCTATACCGAGTTAACAGAGGTGTAACTTGTCAATTGCAGCAGGTAGTTGAAAACAAATGGTATTAAGAAGAAATAAAAAGCTGGAGTATGTACACGCAATACAGCTACTTATATATGTAACAACACATGTCAGCCTTGAGGTGCTGACTGATGAACATGTGGTAGAGGCATGGTGCTTTGTAAGTAATCATGTGACTTTAAGTCACATGATGAGATAAGATAATAGATAAGAACAAGTGATTAAATAAGGAGAGATAAGATGTTTGACTTGATTATTGGTGATGAAAAATGATTTATTGGTATCTGATGAGTAGTGACATTACCCCCCTTTTAAGACTTTTGTCTCAAAAGGTTGATTCAATTTTCCCATTTTCCCAGTTGAAGAGTTTATGGTTCTGTAAAGTTTTTGAATGGTTGGTACTGGAGTGTGAAGTTTATGTGTCTAGGTGCACTTGGGAAATGATCATAGAAGTCAACAACAAAGGTCTGTGTCTTATGTCATCCAACTTTTCTGATGGCTGATCCATTGTAATATGAGCTTCTACATAGACCTTATCTCCAGGTTGATACTCAATGCTTTCTTTTTTGTTTTTGTCATAGAATTTTTTCATAATCTCAGCTGCCTTTGCTTCACTTTTTCTTCCTGTTTCTATTTTGGATGTTGACCATTGTTCAGACAGAATGGACTATATGTAACAACCAAGAGTTTGTTACTCTGGCGCACAACTCAGACAAGCTATAGAGATAATGATGAGGGAGTGGTTACCCTTTAGGCTTCAACAAGTTAGTTGTGAGGATACAACAGGAGGACTCGCTGAGGAGTCTCCTTGATCTATTGGGGTATATATACTACCACAACAAGCATAACCGACTTTTGTCACACCCAAAATCAATGAAAAAGTCTGAAAGTAGTTAAATTGTTTAATTGCATTTTGGACCTACAAAATTTTATCAGAATAATGTATTTTGTTATCATATTTCTACATATCCACACAAAAATATAGTATTAATGGAAATATATCAACAAAAAGACATTGTTTTGTAGGTCCAAAATGCAATCAAATATTTTAACTACTTTCAGACTTTTCCATCAGTCATGAGTGTGACAAAAGTTGGTTATGCTTGCTATGTACTACAGGTTTGTTTGTACATATGTACTATACAGTTGATGAAGGCAGTGGCTGATGATGTCAGAGGGCGCAGCCCGTGTGACCAGCTCCACTGCGTGAGAGACTTGTATCTAAAATAGAAAGAAAGGCAGTGTAGCGCGAGAAAGTGGAGTTTGAACAAAAGGGAAAGTGCTGCATGACACGGAGTGTGAAAACTATAGTAAAAGGTTAAAGAGGAGAATGAAAATTAAAGGTCCAAAATTGTGTTATCGTAACACTATAACCTGTTGCTGAGTGTTCTTTATTATTATGTGTAAGAGAATTCTGCCAATGGTAGCCATTCTTCCCAGTCATCTTGTTTGTGGTTAATGAAGATCTGGAGATACTGTTTATGTAACAACCAAGAGTTAGTTACTCTGGCGCACAACTCGTGCAAGCAAAAGAGTAATGATGAGGGAGTGGTTACCCCTTAGGTAGGACCAAGTTAGTTGTGGGTATACAACAGGAGGACTTACTGAGGAGTCTCCTGGATCTATTGGGTATTTATATTACTATAGGTTGTTTGTACATATGTACTATACTGTTAATGGAGGCAGTGGCTGATGATGTTGTAGGGTGCAGCCCGTGTAACCAGCTCCACTGCGTGAAATACTGATAGCTAAAATAAGAAGAAAGGCAGCGCAGCACGAGAAAGGTGGAGTTTTGAACTAAAAGGGGAAGTGCCACATGGCACAGTGTAAAAACTACAGTACAAGGTTAAAGCGGAGAATGAAAATTAAAGAAAAGATCTGAAAATGAAAAGTAAGGTAAATGGTCACATGACTGGTCATGTGGCTTGGAAAAAGTAAAAGTAAAGTATGAAAAGTAAAGTGTGAGTAGGTACTGGTACGTCAATTGTAACAATCAATACCAAGCCACAGGAAGGTGGATAAATCACAAATTACTCTGGATCTGACCAGTCCAGCCCTGCAAGGCATAGCAGAGCACCAGTATTTTCATGGTTGAAGCCACAGCCAGCCTTTGCATTGCGATGAAGATGAGGCAGAAGTGCCTGCCCCTTTGGCATGATCCAGTCAATCACTGCAGTCTTGATGCCCTTTGTATCATCTGATCTGCCCCCATTAGCTCCTTTTTTGATCTGCAATGTAGCATCATGTTAAGGATGAGTGGCCATAAGACAAAGAACATATGTACCAAGTCCAGAATGGGAATTATTTCTTCTTCAGACAATGTCTCGCCCATCAGGCGTCTTTCAGGCCCTGGAACAAGCTTGAGTAAATCTAAGAAAATATGTTGCTCTCTGCATTCCCTGTAAGGTAGATTATTGGTTGGGATAAGGATAGAGAGATAGATGTTATACTCGACAGTATAACTTTCTCCAGGCTCATCTGATACTATGCGCTTGATACCACTTTCTATAAGGTTCTGGATGTTGTAAAAGGCATGTATGGCCCTCCCAAGATGATGTCCGTGGTGAACAAGAGGGTCTTGGGATGTGCTAGTTCTAGGGTGGTCATCATGCGGAGAAGTGAGTGTCATGCTTACTACAAATGAAAAATTTGAATGCACTGTCTTTTTCTAGATCCCAGTTCCAATGCAGAACTTCTTCCACTTTTGCTCATGTTTTTCTCGGAGGCTGCCCTTCTATGCAAGGGTTCCCTGTCATTCTCACTGTCAGATATGCAGAACAATTTTCCAGTAAAAGAATCAGAATCAGCACAGCCCAGGCTTTGAGAACATTTAACTGGCCTTTCAAAACTTGGAAGAATTTTATAGCAGGCACAGCATCACTGTGGTTCAAATTGACTGGAATGGTTAGAGATCAGGATAACATATCTTGATCAGGTAATAGGGATAAGTATTGCCAAAATTGTAAAATAAGAATTGGGGGGCATACAATAGGATATTTGAGTTGAATTTTTAGTACATTGTGGCTGTGGATCGAATAGAAGAATGACAGCTGATACTTTGAAGTTCAGTGTCAAAATAGGAACAAAAACAAGTTGAAAGTGATGTACCTGCTATAGACATTTACTAGTATTTGGACAGGACAGCAAAGTGCCAAATTGAGGACTTGTATGCTTTGGGAACTGGAGGCTGTGAAAAAGCAGCCAATAGGGTGGTCAGTAGTAAACACATGCAGCCTGAGGGATTTAAAATTGAAAGTAGGCGGACCTAGTAGTACTGTAACTAATGGGAGTAAACTTGGTCCAGGACTTTAGTAACCTAATGATTCTAATTTCAAGTCAGCCTGAGAGTCACTGGCAGCTTAAAACCCAAACCCACTAGTACCCGTTGTCAATGATGAGAACCATGATTAGAAAACCACACACAAAACAAACTAACACACAATCCTCCCAGAATTCATGGAACTTGTTTATGGGCTTTGCCTCCCAGAACAGTGGGTGCTCTGGTTGTTTGTGGGGTAGTATGTATGACAATCCTTCAAAGTAAAACCCAAACATGTATGGATATGGGTTTTGAGGAGGAGGGATAGTTGAACTATAGAAGATAGGGGCTTTTATGACGAGTATAGACAAATACATCAGGAAAAATGGGGGTAGCTATATAGAGCTCTATAGCACTATAAATACTCATAAAGCTGTTATAGTGGTCAAACCTGTTATAGAACCTCTGCCATCTATAGAGCCTCATATAGCTCTATAAATGCTCTTATAGATGTTGGAAATTGTTGTGTGGCTGATTAAAAAAAATTCACACAGACAGAATTTGAACTCTCAACCTGCTAGTCAGCTTTTAGATGACTAAGAAACCTATAACCACACATCACATTTATCCACTACACCATAAGAGCTTATAAAATATGTTATATAGATGTTATATATTGACCTTTTATGGACTTAGATTTTTTTTAAATCATTGTCACCACTTATATTTGGATAAATCATTATTCTTATTAATATCAAAGATACAGACTACTATTTCACTAATACAGGCTACATAATTAATTAATACTGTATAATTTATTAGCCCTTTTAAGCACCTTGAACTATATTATAACTATGACCTTTACAGCTATATGAGCTATGTAGGCTGCTATAGGCTATAAGAGCACTTATAGTACCTTGCCTATAATAATATACTTGACTCCAAACACTTCTGGCCTCTTTCCATTATTGAACAAATTTATTAGATTAATCCAGAGTTTGAGGGAATTATAGATACTTCTCCCCTTGGTTAAATTTTTGCCTACTACTGTGCTATAAGAGCTATAAGAGCTATGATTGCACTGATAGTACTATAGTTTCTATGAATGCATTTATATATATAGGTGGTAGCTATATAGCGCTATATAGCAAAAGGGTTTTTCCTGATGTACTACCTTGCTAATTGTAGCACAAGGTAGGTTTAAGAATGACACAATGACAAGGTGACAAGGTTCCCAGTGATAGCAGGCTCCTGACGCACAAACTGTAGTTCTCAGAAGGACTTTAATTGAAAGGGATGAAAATGACTTTCAAAAGTGATGCGTGACAATGACAGCAGTTAACAGTGGTAGTAGTGGGAAGTGTTGTAACCACACTGGATCACAAGTAGCAGAGTAGTGAACTTGAGATTTAGAGAAGAAGTCTGGACTGGAGTTCTTGTTGTTTTTTTACAAGGTAAAATACAGAGGTTTATATAGTAAAAGAAAGGTAGGCTATGCACAGTATAGCTGTGCAAAAAGACTGAGAAAGAACATGAAGGAAGGAATGTACACTGACAAATCCTGCATAGATAAGACCATCAAAATAAGGAAAAAAAAAGGATAGAACAATGAATGCTGTGTAAGTAATGTCACAGGTTTGTACAGCCATAAAATAAAGTCCAATAACAGAAAGAGAGCAAGAAAATTTATGATGTCATAGGAAGATGCAGTAAAAAAAGGGCAAGGCAAAAAAATATCAGTATCAACATAGTTCCTTTATTGTCAGTCAGGCATTTTAAAAAAATTTGTGTCCATAAAAATGATTCAAAAATCAAAATTAATTGCACTGTAAATGAATATTCTGCTGAAAAAAAAAACTGGAGCCACTGGTCCACCACCTAGTCCAAATCCGACGGTTCCATGGCCTTACCAATGGACTGGTTGTATTGGACCACCTGGTCAAACAAGATAGAGAGGGGAGTAGTTCTAATTTGGAATAAGTGAGTCCCAGGCAGTGTGGGGTAGCTGTAGCTGTAGCAAAGACAATGGACAAAAGATAAATGTACCCAAGTGAATGGGACAGCGATGTACATAGTTGACACAAGGGGATGAACCTTCTCCAGCTCAAGAACTACCCACCCACGCTCCAACAAGGCAAGACAAGTGACTGATGATTTGATAGTATACAATGAAAGATCAATGTCGTGAAGATGGACCTGTTGCCCAATTTGGACCAGCTGCTGGGGCTTTGCTGGTATCAGCAGTGGCACGTGGTGGTCAACAGACTGGTGATGGAAGCGGATAGAGAGTGGTGACATCAGGTATGGTGGGGGAGCAAGGATGACGAGCAGGAGGAGGGTGGAGGTGACAAGGAGGTGAACTAGAATGGGGATCCAGAAGCAACCATCAGGTGAGAATAAAAAAGAGAGCAAGGGTCTCATGGTGGGGCTGAGTAAAGAAAAAAGTAAGGGAGAACTACAAAAGTGAGGGCGCAATGTGTAGCCAGTGCTGATGTGAAAATTTGCCGAAATGCCGAAATGCCGAAAGTACCAAATGGAAAAAAAAGGTGAGCGTGACTGGATTGCCTAATAGAGGTGGTGCTGATCAGCCACAAGTTTGAAAAAGGCAATATTGATTACTATTCCACATAGCACTGTGCCTGTGTAGCGCAAAGGCGAGTCTTTTTGAATATTCACTCCATTTTTGACACCTGTCCATCATACCAATCAACTTTGGTGCATGACAGCAACCTTCCAAACATCTTCTTCTTTGATTCGTACATTATTGTACCCCTATCTGAGATTCATCTTTGTTAAGATTTTGGCCCCATCTAACTTGTCTACTAGCTGACTAATCAAGGGCAGCGGATACGTGTTTTTGACCATGTACTCATTTAAGTAATAATAGTCCCTAATATACACTTCTACCATCCTTTTTAGGAATGAAGAACACTGGGGACATCATGGGGCTTTTGGAAGGTCTGATGTAACCCTTCCTAAGCTGTTCATCTATGAAACTTGAAACCTCATCTCTTTCTGGCACAGAGAGAGGAATCATGTGTCCCTTTCTAGGTTTGAACGTGTCCTTCAAATCTATAACATGGTCCCAAGGCTTAGCCTCTGGGAAGCGCTCTGATTTGTGTTTTGAAAAGACTTTCCAGAAGTCATGGTACTCTGGAGGTACCAGCCTCTTAATCTCTTCCTCAGGCTTTACCTCATCATTGTCATCATCAATCTTATCCAAAGATCTGAGCTTGGCATAAACATGACCAGTGTTTATCCTTTCATCAAGCTCAGTTTGACAGACGTGACTCGTTTTACCCAAGTTATCACATCCCTGAGGGCAACGTGACAAAGTGACAACCCCAATCTGCCAGTTGATCTCAGGATTGTGTTTAAATAGCCAGGTCCAGCCTAAGATCAAATTAATCTTCCCTAGTTGGGTAGCTTCGGCAGTGACTTGTTCTCTGTGTCCTTAGTACTCAACAACAAAAGAACATTTGTGTGTAATGCAGCCACCTGCGTTAAGTGTACCGTCAATGTTATAGATGGGAATAGATACATCTAATTTACAAGGGGGAGTCCAATTTGCTCCGCCCAGACCTGATCTATGAAAATTCTGTTAGCGCCTGAATCAAGCAGTGCACTGGTTGGGTATACTATGCCTCGGGCAAGGTTTTCCACACCAACATCTAAACAGATCTCCTTTTGGAATAAATATGTGTGCATCAATGCATGCCTTGGGATCCCTGCAGAAAGCGGCTCCAAAGAAAAAAAAACCAAAAAGAACATGTTTTTCTACTTTAGTATATTCTATGTTTTTGTTTTTATTTTTACCAGAATCAAGCACCCTAGTGTTTGTCTCGCTGGGGCCACGCTCCTGAGAAGACACTGGTGCAGCAATAGCATCATAAATGTTACAGTCACAGTTTTGCATATAAGTACATACTTCTGATAACAAGTTGAGAAATTTATTTACAAATTGGGGAGCCACCCCCTTTCCTTTATTGCTCATGCAACACCCCAGAGCAGGGGCCACCTCGTTGTGGTTTACTTCATTGTTTTAAGGAGTGAAGGCACTCAAGTGACCTAAGCTCCAAACTCTTTTCCCTGAGCCTTCATCTCAGCAACCTGTTGGTCGTAAAAGAAGGCTTAGATTTTGTCATACAAACAACCAGCCAGAGTATCGAGCTGATTGTCCGGCTTCTCTGTTTCTGATTGGCGCTCCTGGCACCCTTGGTTATTTTTTTGTTTGGCGGCCTGCACCCTATTTCTGCAATCCCTCCTGGCCACAGTTATAGCAGTTGCCCTTGAATCTGCGCCTCTGTCTGCCTTGGACCATGTCAATATCCATAGGAGCACCCTGCCCTGGCTGTAGCCCGAAAGGCTTGAACCCATGAGAGTGATTATGATTTTAGTTTGATGACCCAGGGCTCCTCTGGGAATAGTTTATTTTTGGTGGTGGGCCCGCCACCAAATTGCATTTTGTAGGGCTCCAGAGCTCTACCAATTTTGTAAACCTCCTCTCCTGCCGTGGAGAAAATATTGCTTCGCATATCCTGCAAATAGAGTTGTTTGGCAATGGCATGGTTGACATTGCATTCTAGCAACTTTATTGCCTGTTCATTTCCAAGACCCCCTTGGATGGAGAGGGCCAGGAACCGGGTAATGAAATCATCTGTCCTCATATTTCCTTGTTTGAAGGAACAGATTTGCTGATGTGCCCAGTCACGCTCAGCTTGTGGTTTAAAATACTTTTCAATCTCTACCTTGAGACCATTCCAGGTGGCCCAGTGATTGGCAGTATAGCACTCCTGGAGTCATATTTGGGTGTATCAACCTGCCACAGGTCCTTTTAGTCAAAACATAACAGCACAGCTGCTAACATATCAAAATCATTGGCAAATATGTCCCAGTTTGCCTTGATCCATCATTTGGCAAATCTATCCCAGTCTCCCTTGAAAGTGCTGGGGTCAGCGACAACCTTGACCTTTTTGTTAAATTTTTGCTTGATGTTTCCAGCGCTCTGACTAGCCTGGAGTTCCTTGAGCTGTGCGGTGAGATTTGTAATCTTCTCCCACATTTGGTAAAGGATAGCATTCACGTTCACTGTTTGTTCTTGCACCAACATGGCAACATGTTCTCTTGGTTAAGTAAAAAAAGGCAACTGGGGGTCCCCACTTGCTATCTGCAGATCAACCTCTTCCCAGCTGAGTAACGGGTTTCAATCCCTGACTACCCACACTATAGTATTTGAAAAGTATATAAAAATGTAAATGTAATAAACCCTGGTCCAAACTGTTGTCAGGGGGTGGTCCGCTTGTTAAACTGTCAGCCCTTCTCCAGACTGGCGGAGGCAGGTGCCCGGCCTAGTCAGAGGAAAGCGAAGGGGAAATTCTGTATGTAGATCTAATCAACAATAGTTCCACACTATTGTTGAGCTAAGGTACTCCCCTTAACACTGGGGGCCATGTATATCTGATTCTAAACTTTCTAGTACCTCAGAACAAAGAGCTTGCAACAAACTGGGGTACACGCTCGAGTTTCTGCTGGCTAGCAAAATGCTCAACACCAGTCTGGCTCCCAAGTCTTACTGTTTGAAAGACGTCCACTTAACCCTGTGGTCCGGGTTTGCACAAAGTGCAAGAGAGTAGTAAGAGCAAGTCCTAATGTACAACCAAGAGTTTGTATACTCCGGTGCACAACTCAGACAAAGCTTTAAAGAAGTGAGGGGAGTGGTTACCCTTTTAGATAGGACCAACTCCGAGTTTGTTGTGGGTAAACAACAGGAGGATTCGCTGAGGAGTCTTCTTGATCTATTGGGGTATATATACTACTACAGGTTGTTTGTACATGTGTACTATACAGTTGATGAAGACAGTGGCTGATGATGTCATGGGGCACAGCCCATGTGACCAGCTCCACTGTGTGAGATACTTGTAGCTAAAAATAAAGAACGGCAGCGCAGTGCAAGAAGGTGGAGTTTGAACAAAATGGGAAGTGCCGCATGGCACAGTGTGTGAAAACTACAGAAGAAAGTTAAAGAGGAGAATGAAATTTAAAGGTCCAAAAAGTGTGTATTGTAACACTTTATGTATATTTTGCCAATGAATCCAAGTATTGTCAAGGGAAACTGTCTTGTAATTTATGCAACCATGCCGCTTATTTTCAAAGTGTGAATGTTCTATTTTTCATGCTCAATAACTTCAACTTACAACTAGTTATATTTACAGCTACCAGATAGTTTCAAGGACTTTGCAAAAGTTCACGCAGGTACTAACAAACTCAGCGATGTCTTCTTGACACACTGTCAACGTGAGTTCTTTGATGCTCAATGGGACATACTACTTGATGAGGAGTTCCTACATGTATATCAACACAGGATTGTCATCACTTGCTGTGATGGTATTCAACGTTGGTTTTATCCCAGAATTTTTACATATTCAGCAGACTACCCCAAAAAGTAAGCAACATTGTGTATAGGTACAGTGTGGCCATACTGACCTTTTCTGTAGGATATTGATTGCGAGTATCAAAAACCTAGGCAGTTGCCCATACACACGGTGTTTGATACTTATGGCCCGCATTCCACATATTGGGGTGGGAGATGATACAATGTGTTGTGTTACTAATGCCCATATAATGCTGAATGAAGGAAGAAGATATCAGCTGCCCGTGATCTCATTTACAAGAAAAACTACGCAGTCAACAACCAGAGGATCAAAGAACTTTTGGCAGATAAGTCTATGGTTCCCAATCTGGTACATAGTATAGATTCATTTTCTTGTCATCAATTAACAAGTCACCATATAGAATGCCTTCTTGAACAGGCTTGGTCCACTTGGTTTCAACGTATATCCAATGCTGGTTGTTGACTTTATGCACGAGGTAGAGCTGGGAGTATGGAAGTCACTCTTCATTCATCTCATGAGGATACTCTCTTCTATCAATGTGGGGCTTTTAGATGTTTTGGGTTCACGGTGAGCTTCACTTCAGTGTTCATCTCCTTCAAATAACTCAATGTTACTATTAGCTATGGCCAGGTACCTACTTTCAGTAGAGATACCATTTGGCGCTTCACAACCAATTCATCTGAAATGAAAAGAATGGCCACCCACAATTATGAAGATTTGTTGCAGGTAGGTACTTCCAATCCCTACTTCTCTGACATTCTGACAGAACCATTGTAGTGTGCTATACTGGTCCTTCAATGCTTATTTCCGGAACCACACAATACTCAAATTTTACGTCTATTATTTTGCATGGCTCAACATGTTACAATACACAATTTTCGGACCTTTAATTTGCATTCTCCTCTTTAACCTTTTTCTGTAGTTTTCACACATTGTGCCATGTGGCACTTTCCCTTTTTGTTCAAACTCCTCTTTCTTGCGCTGTGCTGCCTTCTTTCTTATTTTAGCTACAAGTATCTCACACAGTGGGGCTGGTCACACGGGCTATGCCCATGACATCATCAGCCACTACCTTCATCAACTGTATAGTACACATGTACAAACAACCTGTAGTAGTATATATACCCCAATAGATCAAGGGGACTCCTCAGCGAGTCCTCCTGTTGTATCCTCACAACTAACTTGTTGAAGCCTAAAGGGTAACCACTTCCTCATCATCATCTCTATAGCTTGTCTGAGTTGTGCGCCAGAGTAACAAACTCTTGGTCGTTACACAACAACACGGTCTAGCTAAACTTCATTTACATACTGACAACACACTCAGCATATTGGAGCAGGTGACAAAATCCCTTGGTAAGCAGCTTTGTGACTTCACCATGGAAACTTGCCCTGTATTCCACACATAGGAGCTTCCTTGTGCCACAAAGCTGCCATCTAGTCCCGGGGTTTGCCGAGGGGGAAATGCATCCTGACAGGGTTGGAATGTCTAAGATGGCCCAAGATGGTGAAGATTGGAAACAATACTATGTTAATAGGTGAGTGTTGGTTCCTCCAAGTCTGCGTAAAAAAATCTAGCTACTATGCCACAGGTTTGTTGATCGAGATATGACAATGCAATACTACTGGGGTTTAGGCATGGGCCATGTATATGCTTGTGGAAAATCACTCGCAGCTTCTGAATCTTCTACCAGTATATGTGCTGACATAATGCAAGACACTAGCTCAAGTAGTATCCTGCAAATCTCCCCAGAAGCAGAACGGCCTGAACAGGCAGAGGAAGATGAGGGCACAGCTCAAGATGATCATTTGTGTCCACATGTTGAAGATGACGATAGTGATGTAGAATTGACATTGCAAGACAGAGAAGGCATTAACTTGAGCTCAGACAATGGTTCAGTTTTGGACTGCAGCAATGAAGAAGATACAATGGACAAAGATATGCTATTGATGATGGATGACATGTATAGATCAGATGTTGACTACAATGATTAATACGACTAGACTATGTACGAGCATCACTATTGCATACCATACTGTGAGACTGTGACTTTGACCAACTACTAGTAGCAGACTAAGCCGCATCCAAACTTCATGTTTATAACTAGTATATCTTTTCAGTGTTGTTTCAGCAAGATGGGCCCATGTCTTTGTAATATTACCATGGTTTGGCGGGATTAGACAGGTTAGGGATCACTCTGCCTGACCATGAACTGACATGACTATGACATTATTGTGGAGGTGCATCATTTTCAGCTAATAGTGCGATCTTTGGGTATCGTTGTCCCCAGATAGCCAGATCTTTCTAACTAATTTCCAGATAAATATCAACATTAAACTATGGTAACTTGGCAGTTGTGACTATTGTAGGTATCTGATTCATCCTTGTAGACGTAGCTGAGATGTTGTCCTGGTAGATCATTTTGGCACTGAATTACCAACTCTGCCTGGTTATTAATAAATCTAAGTGAAACTCAGCCGCTGCCTAAGAGGCTATAGAAACAACTGAGGTATTCCTATACCAAACCCCCTACTACTTATAGTCGGAGCTGCTACTCGCTATAGTATAATAAGTCCTAGGAGAACAATGGTGACTCCATGAAGCAGCCATTATGCTCCATGGAGAACAATGGCTGCTTTAGCAGAGACCGGGTTTATCCGGTTTTGTCACAATGTACTATCACTCTGCTAATATCTGATAATGCTTCATCAATACATACAAGCCACTACCAGGACACAGCATTTTGGCAAATAGTCATCAACTCCGCCTGGCTATAACAGCTCCTCCCCAATTTTCTGATGTCTATGACTCTTGTACAATCTTACAGTCACACACAGGCGGCACATGTACTTCCCAAACCTACATCCAACAACATTTCTCAACTAAATGGAACAGACATTCCGAATCACAGGCAAGCAAGTTCTATAATTTGGTAAAGTAAACATTCAAGATACTTCTATTTACCACTCATTGCCACAGTAAACCATGTTTCAGAAACTAGCTCTTCATTCTCGTCAAAGCAATTACCATGGTGTTGTGACTTACATCCCGAGACAAGTCAACCAGCTATTGTAGTTTAAGACTCGCATTGTTCTTTTGTATTCACTATACTGCAGAATATCATAGTTTTTCTACCCTCGAGAAACCATTGTAGAAATTATATTACATAAGCAAACTTCGGAGCTTTGCCCGAAGCTTTACTCTGTGATTACAACCAGCCTTTTGTGGCTATCATTGTTTCTCACATGATATTTACATATGTTTGTTATATAAGAAGCATGTATTTACGTTGTTACGGTATTCGTTTGCCAAAAGAATCCTTCTCCCACGCCTGTTCCCACGCCCTGAGGGACCAAATATCCAACAACCATGCTTTTTCTGATTAAGTGGTGAACTTATCACAACACAATGGGATCTGCACCCGTGTACAGTGATTCTGGACCTTCTGGGCATGCAACCAATCAGTATGCTTTCCAAGTACGCCTTGGTAGCTTAGTTGGTAAAGCACCAGACCATGAAAGCTGGAGTCCCAGGTTCAAGCCCTGGCCAATGCATGTTTTCTCATACTATAAACAAATGTCATACTTTGTCAGAATTGACCTTCTTGGTCATAATATACCCTATAATGCCTGATACGCCGAGTAAAGGACCTGGCTCATGCTATCAGGCCAATATTTGCTTTCATTCTGACCAGTGTGACTTCTCTAGTCGACCACATCATCGTGTTCATGCTATTTCCATTGATATGGGCAATGATCATGATCACGCTGATCAGCCTGCATCAGTAAAGTGTCAAATTTCTTGACGGAACTTGGTCACGCTTTGCTGACTTTCAAGACTATGTTCAAGAAATATAAGGAATTAAAGCTCTATCAAGTGAACAAGAAAGCGAGCCAATTCACCTTCAACTTCATTTAGACACGTAGGCTGGTCTAAGTAGAAGCATTCAGACATTTTGAGCAAAGTGTTATCCAAGCGTGGTCCAAGTACATGAAGTATAAAATCAAGTTTGACAAGTTATGAATCATCCTTGGCTAAGTCCGAAGGCATGATGGTCTATATATTTATTAATGTAGAACGTAGGAAATTTATCTAGTGAGTTAGTGAAATCAATGTCAGATGGGATGAACTGATGACCATAATCGCTGAATACAGGCATGAGATGTGCACTACGAAAGATACAGTCTAAATGAATAATTTCGAGACTGGGTGATCCATCGTCATTTGTATCAGGCTGGACCTTCCACAACCCAGTGAGTTCATCAGGCTCATCCAGAATATGAGAGAACCACTGTATAAGAGCACATGGATAAGTAGTATTATCATGTGAGAAAGAAAGGAATGCAAAAATGCGAACGACATCGAGTCCTCGGATTCCTGGAATTGAAGGATCGCGCTCGACAAAAGCACAGTCGTAACAAGCCGCATGCTTTTGCCACAAAGGCGTGGCACGAATTGTTTCTTGGCGCATACCACCAATTCCACTGCAGTCGCTTGGTGCATAGAAATATGCGACTGCCGAGTGCGTCGCAACTACCCTCGGATTGAACATGGGGCATTGGTGCAGGGGTATATTAAAGGCTGAGGGCGCAACATGGTCGTTCATGTGCGCTTGGCTGTAAAGGAAGCGCCGGAGTAACTCAACAAGGCGGGGTTGGTTGAGCTGCACACTGAGTTTGTGGCAGTTTGTTGAATATTGACGCACTAAAAAGATAGCCATCAGTATAATATACATGTAAATAGCAGTGAAATAAAATGTACAACGGCGAACCGATGGTTTGACATAGCCAGGTGTCAATGGACCTGGGACCGGCCCACTATCCCCGTTGTTGTTGTCTTCGGTGTTGTGGTGCTCCACTCTTGTATCCAGAGCTCTTGTAGCCTCCATTGCATCATTGTGATAATTCTTTACATAGTCTAGGATACTGCCTGAAAGCATCCCACGGGCTGTAAAGTCCACCCTAGAGACCGCAAGTTTGTCGAGCCTCTGGTTAATCAGCAACATCTGACCAAGTGCTTCAAATCTGCTTGACCGGCGCCATGGTTCTTTTACAGCCGTAATGAGTCATGATTCCGTTATTGACGAACAGAGGCCGTTTGGAGACCCAAACATTTGAATGAGCCATGGATAATGTTGTAGTGAATGCTGTCGTGGGAGAGAGAACCCTGTTGGTCGGACACCTAGTGTCTCAAAAATGGTGCGGCTGTGGTGGAAATCCTTGACGACATCTTGCACTTTCTGGATGGTGCTGTCACTGTGAGTATCGTGCCGTACCAAGTAACAGAAGTCGAGAAAAGCCTGGAATGTGCGTATTATGTCTGGGGGGACATGCCCTTCAATAGCGGGGAGGTACACCTTCATGAGAGCCTTTGAATCGTCGCCGGTCCACTGCTTGAATCCACGGCCTTGAGGAAATCGTTGAAGGCCAGGAAATGAGGGAACTGCTGCAATCTGTCGGTCAATGTCATCCGAAATCTCGTCAGCCCGCTTCTTGCTGTATGTTAGATGGAGGTAATCCTCTACCCAAGTCACAAGGTGATCCTTAAAAGTACCTTTGATGACTTGGTGAAGAAGATCAGGAGCCAGAATTTCATGTATGTCGGCACGAGGGAAATCATGTGTGAATGGCTGTTTGAGTGTGGGTTGGTGAACAAGAAAAAACAGGATTCGTTCGAATGTAAAAGGGTTGGTGTATGAGAAAGAACAAAATTTGTTTGAATGTAAAAGGGTTGGTGTATGATAAAGAACAGGATTTGTTCGAATGTAAAAGACTCACTACTATGTCGCTAACAATACCATATTGGTCCCACAAAACCACTGGACTGAGGAAGTTTGCAAGAACCTCTGTGTGATCTTCTGAGCGCCGACCACCTTCGCCATCAAGATTGTTAGGCCAGGCAATACAGCTATGAGAATCAGATATTAGTCTGAATAGTACCGTATAAGAAAGCCACTTACCGAGGACACCACCCTTGAACTATACATGCAAGAAGAGCCTGCTCCGGATAATCAGCTATGTATGGACCAATACCATAGATAACACGCCTAAAATGCATGTCAGCGCATCGTAGAACCTCCGGAACTAGCATCCCGGGTTTGAGATATTGAAGAATGCGAGCCAGGGAGGTGTGGAATAACTGTCGGCGAAACTTGCGAAACTTGACATCATTTGCATACTTCTTCTCAGCTGAAAAGGTGTTAGCTTTAGTATACGCAAAGAAAAAATATTGTTGAATAGAACAAACTCTTTGGAATGGCCAGAAAGCCCAGCAATGCAACAGCATTCCTGTGTGCTCGTCGGACATTATTGTGAACGTTTCCAATGGATATATACACTGGATAATATTCATTTTGGCCTGTCGCAACTGACACTGTGGTCTTATCGCTGCCTAGAATAACGGGCACGAATGATGAGCCATGGGTTGTTGGATCCACGGAGATCTTGTCGGCCTGCTTCCAGGCCCACTCCCCTGACATGAAGTCTTTATATTCTCGCTCTCCCTTCTTGCTAAACTTCCGGTAAGGCATGAAATTGGTTTCACCACAGAAGTCTCGATTAGATAGCATGTTTTGAATGATGGCAAGTGAACTCCTAAACCAAACATCAAATTCCTGTTTCATCCACTCTGAGGGGTCTTCTTCGGGAAGCTTGCCATTATATGAGAGAGAGAAAGACTCCCATGGCATGTCACTGCTGGAAGTTGAGTCAATTACTCGGTACAAGTCGTCCTTGTTTGCAAAAGGGACATCTTCATCAGCCAGACCATTTTTGATGAACGAGGCCCTCCACAGATCTACAAGGGCATTAATATCTCCCCCAGACATCTGTACCTTTTTGTAGATGAGTTCCGCCGTCTCAAACTCAACACGATCCCGGTATGGGGACCAATCATTGGTTGACGGGGTTTCGGGTAGTACAGGTTTTGCTCCAGGAGGTAGAAAGTTCCCGTTTTCATCACAAGGCCGTCCTGTGAGTTTTCAGCAGGAATAATGCCCATTAGAAAACATAGACAACATACCATCTAGAAAAGGATGGTATTCAATCTCACATTGAGCCTGATCTTCTAATGGCTCATTGGATAGCGGATTTTCTTGCTCATCCTGTCCGTCAAATGGTTCGAAGTTGCTTTCTAGTTCGTTTTCAGCTGGTGGTGAAAGTGCTGGGTGCTCAGGAGGAAGTGGATGGCTGGGGGCGCTGACATGACAAGAGCGCACATGTTTTTTCAAACCGGAGACACTGCGAAACCAGCGGTTGCACTGAGAATTCTCGCAGGGTATAGTTAAGCTGCTGTGGTGTGGCCGGGCGGGTTTGTGATGATATATCTGGGGAGGCATTGTTGTTCAAGTCTACTAGTAAAGAACGTAAGAGCAATCATACTATGTGTGAGAAAGCTTTAGTTCCGAAGTAACACAGAAAATTTCATTTGAAAATTACCTACTATTAGTCCTGAACTCCATTTTCTCTCTTCCACGTAAAGCTTTGTCCATCCATCTTCCCCCCATGTCTCGCCCAGTAACTCGTGCTAAAAATGCCCATCAACACCCCGGGAAAATTCTACTTGACCTGGAACCAAAATGTCGTTCTCGAGCAGAGGTAGTGCAAGAGAAAGAACAGTTTGAACTCACCAAAAAGGAGTTGGTGCAAGCTATGAAGCTTGGTCTTGCTGCTGCAGCAAAGGTTGAAAATAAAAATGCCAGAGAAGACATAGAAGACAATATACCTATGCTCCCTCCCTCTCAACGGCGCCAGGTAAGTAAGAAAGACAGCCCTGTCATCAAGGATGGCAGGGAAGATTCTGTGGCACCTATTCCTTCCCAGTGGCGCCAGTCCCGTCTTGCATGCCGTAAAAGCAGCCTGAAGGTCATCCCAGATAGCGAGGATGAAGAAGAATCAGTAGGCAGCAAAGAGAGCAAAAAAGACGAACAAGGTATGATGTGTTCTTCTCAGCTGGACTTTCAAACCAATGATGGAGTTGATGAAGGAATTGATGATAGAGACATTGATATGATGTGTTCTTCTCAGCTGGACTTCCAAGCTGATGATGGAGTTGATGGAGGAATTGATGATGGAGCTGATGATGGAGACAACAATGGAGGTTTGGAAGAGAGTGACATAGAGGAGCTCGTCCCCAAGAAAAAGAAGAAAGCAGGCAACAACTCAGGCATTCGAGGTGCCATTGTAGCCTTAAGGCAACAAGGAAGTGCAGCTTCCGACCTGACGCTGGCTAAGCCCCAATATGGTGCGCAAAGACCACGTGGAAGGTCAGCACATTTCTTCTTTCATCTGATCTCTACAGAATGACTGATCAACTGCTTTGCCTCAACGAAATAACTCTATTTTTCTACCAACGCCTCAATTCAAATGTGTCGGATCCATCCTATAGCAAATCTGTAGGCATTAATTCATGGAGAAAAAATGTTCACAAGCCAAACTATGCTACAACAAACGAAGCAGATGAATTCAGCACAAACTCGCAGGACGTTTCATCACTCTTTCCCATCACTACAGACTCCACTGCTTGCACATCTCATCCGAACAACAAGAAACGGGTGCTCTCTTCACAATCCACATCAAATACGTGGTCAGCTACAAATGAAGGCACTGGTATTGGATATCGGGCGGGTGGACTTGAGGATGAAGTTGAGATAGAAGAGTACATAGAGGCTGTTAAGGGAAAGTGTACCATAAGCACTGTGAGTTAACCGTTCAAGTTTGTTTTTTACTGACCTTATTCTTCTCTAGAACCTCGTTAAATTTCGAGATGGTGTTAAGCCTCCCTTAAAGCGCATCAAAGTTGAACATCCGACAAAAATCACAAACTCTGACCTCCCGGAGGGTTGCATGGAGGGTGGCCGTTGGCGCAACACTTTTATCACAATGTATGAGAAGTGGGTTGGGACCTGCGAGAATCCCTGGAACATTAGTGACACCAAGGCAATCTGGGCCATGCAACTGGCCTGGGATGCTATCTATCCCAACATTCGCCACGCTATCACTGTACAAGACCCTGTCTATCTTGTGGTGAGTTTTATTTTGTCTTTTGTCTTGTTATTTCTTTCACTAGCTCTTAGGCCTCTCAACGTCTTTCAGAATGGCGAAGTGGTTTTGGTTCTACTGCCATGGCCATGGTGGAGCACTTCTTTGAATCTGATCCCGCTTACACAACTTATCACGCCCGTCAAGAATTTGCTAGTGAAGTTCTCACTGGTTTTGCATACCTCTACGAAGAAATAGGGGATGATCCCTCGGTATGTGGTCTCATAATACATCATATTTGGCTCACATTTTGTTTTTAGGGATTTTGTGGTCTCTTTTGGTCGCCGTTTGTCCTGCAAACATTTGCGGCCCACCTTGCGGCAGTTAACACATCTATTGATGTTGAGGTATTGCAAGCTGACAGTGTGCATAGTAATGCCACAGACACTAAGAAGTATCCACCGGTAGGGGCCCTAGCGATGAGCGCAGCAGCCGTGAGTACAAAACCAGCATCATTTCGAGGTCTCTACTAAAGCCTGAATATAGGTTGAACGTGCATTTACTATGTGGGCTGAGAGAAAAATCACCTGGGACCCGCCAGTAACGCAATCCCAAGTAGGTTCCGTAGCTCGGAAAGTCAAGCCGGTTCGAGAGCTCAACAGGGCTACTGGCAAAACAACCGGTAGCCATGCGGCGTTCTCTGACACGAACTGGGGCGAGGCTACTCGCTATTATGCTACATCAATCAAAGCACTCAAACAAGAGACGATGGACGACATAGTGGCAAAAGCAAGCACCTACATTGTTGGAAAAGGACGCTCTAAACAGCCGGCCACAAGTACAGATGGAGGTGCTGACCCTCGAGCCCGTCTAGCTGATGTTTAGGCTGTGTAAGTGTTCCTTGTATGTGTGCCCTCGCATTCATGCTCATTACAGGTTTTTTGCGTTGGGGTGCATAGATGATCAAATACATTTAGTGTTTTCCCCAGCTATCATGAATTCCTTGTAGACTCTTTCCACATCCCTGCTCAGTTTGTTTTGGTGATAATTGTGTCTTGAATTGTGTTTCGTCTTTTACAACTCGGAGCACTGACTTTTTCTTATTCTCATTTAATGCTACTTGTTCCGGTTCTCGAAAATATCTTGCTTTCATCTTAGGAGTTACTTCTTAATGCCTTAATAAAAATTCAAGAGTTGTTCAAGTTTGTTCAAAGTAGTACTCAGTGAGATTCAAGAAATTGAGTGTCCTTAATCAAACTTTTCTCGTCTTGAAAATCCATAGGTCCCTTGGCACCAAACCGATCTTAATCACTCTTAAAATCGTTTTAAGCTGAGTTAAGGTCTTCAAAGAAAGTTGACATTTTACTGATGCTGGTCTAGAAGGGGCATTTCTGATGACACCTGAAAAGACCTTGTTGCAGCCTTTTGCAGGTACGTCACTCAAACTCATGATGGCCTTACTGGGACCTATCAGGCCTTATACGCAAACATGGATTTTTCCGACAATTGTTATTACTGTTAAACCATCTCAAGCTACAGCCACTTTGATGGCATATCAACTCCTCCTGATAATGAAAATTTCTCCCCGTTTTCCTGATGTATCTACCAGCCACAAAGAGCTATGCTAACGCTCATACATCGGTGATAGAGCCAGGTGGACACCCTTCTTTCAACTCGTACCTATCTGATAATTGTGAGTTATGGAAGGCGCAGTGTTCAACAGCTTTCTGGAGATGAATCTCTGATCTCAGAAGGTAGATTCAAACAACAGAATAAGAAAAATTTCCCAAACACGGTTGACAGCCTTCATTCTTATTTTTTTGGTTACGGTGCAGCCCTAATGAAACCCACTCTATATCATTTCATCACACGCATCATGTGCAGAGCCCTCTTTATCATGATATCCAGCTGAGGTATATATCAAAAGAACTCGACACAAAGTCTTTATATACAGTGCCAATAAGCAGGTTCTCTGTCTCTAAACAATGTCTATCCCAATCATACCTTCTTCAATGCCCTCGTTCGAGGATTCTTTCGGTGAGTCCAATTTGCTGCGTAGAATGACCAATGATAAATTCTACTTGCAGGCCCTGCACTTGTTGGTTCATGGCTAGCAATGGGTTTGTATGGACTTACGACGACACAGGCATGTACCCGCAATTCCAATCCTTAGGTTCCTAGTCGGCTCACAGGACCACAGGCATACATTTATTGGATTCACTATCCAAAAGATAGTGCGTGGACAAAAACATTGGTGTGTTTGCCTGTATAAATGCCTCACAAATATCTGAGGTCGATGTCAACTTCATTTTTAGGTTGTATTTCTCTGGTATGGTCTAGCTGACAAATGATGGCGGTTTGACCTGAACATGTTCTAACGGCAGGGTTCTGAGCACAGTGCATTCTGTTTCATGTTTGAAAGCTTTCCCTTTACTTGTGAATCGTTGGTCTAACTCCTTTTTTTAGTGTCCCACCATACTTATCTCCACATGGTTAGTCCTCGGTACCGTCTATTCATTCTGGGTTATTGTCGCTAATCTCTTGCGTTGCCAGGTAAAAGTAGAGTCAGACATTCTACTAGCTTTCAATAACACATGGTATGTCATAATATGAATGTATCTTCTCTAGGTCTATTTCTTGACTCCGATCATGATCTATATACAGGTCATTGAAGGTATGTATTCTAATAAATAAGAAAATCAATCACTAAAGTTATGCCATAGGCGACTGTTCTTTTATATGTAAGGGCAGCCATGGTTTGTCGAGTCAAGCTATGGCTAATCAACTGATTTTTTCCTTCTTTCGAGATCATATCATACATCACCATTACGGCGTAAGGACTATCATACACAAAAATTCCTCATTTCTCATTTCATTTTTAGTTACTACATGAAGATGATTTTCCAATGTGTGCATTTTTCAAGGATCATTCATTTCGCATGCTCATCTCAACCATAGTAAGCAGTGACTGGTTTCGCTGGTGGCTGATTGGAATACTTGTTTGTTTTCCTGTTTTTCTTATCGAACAATCTGACCTGTTTTCCCAACCCACCAGGCGCTCCCTTCTTTGTCTTTTATTGGTTAGCATGAGCTTCCTCCAATCTGTATTTTTCTTGCTAATCAGAAACTTTGTCACAAAACACAGCTTTTGGATTAGGTTCGTAGATCTCGCTCTTTCGAAAACATTTGGTTTTATACATTCAAAATGTATGCAGACACTAGTGTTCGTGTGTGCGTATATTTCCCTCTTCAAAAAGATATACAACATCGACATTGCGGATAGGATCCAATCACCAACGCTCATGATCTTACCGGAAATTGCTGTAAGACCATATCTCAAGATTCCATCGCTTAGGGCACTTAAATCCTTGCAACAGCACGGTACAATAATGCCCGCCTTTGCATTCCAATGCGTTTCAGATGGATCAATCACAATATCTTTGTGCTTACTTTTGTACCGGAAACGGACTGGTTTCCACAGGTAGACATCGTTTTACTTCCTCCTTTGTGGAAACACATAGTAATGGCTCAAACAGGACTCGTCACATCCTAAACAATTTGATAATCTATGCCGCAAGCAGAGGCTTGATAACTTTGTGCGTAGTTCAGTCTCTCTCCAATGCTGCAGAATTTCATTATTTGCTACTAGAATGGTCACCCTTGTCATGGTCCTTGCGGTATGCCTTCCGCCTTGTTTTATTTCCCTTTTTTCCTCACGAGAATCGCCAGATTGCTATTAACCCTAATCAACTGTGGTATAGTGCGGCTCAATTCGCTTTAGTTGGCCTCTACACAAATTCTCTCATGACCATGTTGAACACAAGGCAGCCATCGTATATTACGGAGGCGTCGCCTATTAAACATAGCATGAACCAGAAGTCTCACTTTGGTACGCCCGGTAATGGTAAGAATAACACTATGAACGTTGTCGGAAATAAGCCTGCAAATGTGGAGTTCATCGCGCTTGATGAGATTGGAAGTTATAATGGGGGTGATAAGGTGGGCTATTTTGGTTAACTGAAAACTGCTTGGTCGCAACTGACTGTATTGGTGTCGTAGTCGAACGGAGTGAAGTCATTGGTGTGAATGACATCTAAGGGTGGTATTGGCCCGACTATAGTTCCGTAAAAAAAATTGTATTCTGTCTTGTCCAACATGTACTATCACTCAAATCTGCTCCTGACAGTAATTTATTTTTTGAAGCTTCTATACTATTTGAATCCTTGGGTAGAAAAGACACAGATACTGAAGTATCTCAACATGCATATATTAATATACACTTAAGCTAAGCAATATGGCGCTGGAGTTATACACGTTACACCTCTAAAAATCATACTGTCAACTTTTCTTGACTCTTTTCGACCGTCCAGCTGATGTTTTAACCTGCTTCCTTTCTTCCTCTTTAATGTGTTCTTCTGCCTCTACGACACGTTCCTCCACTTCGTCCGCTTTTACACCTTTGTGTTCTTTCAGCCACTCTTTCAAGGGGCAACTGCCTTTCCCATCTTTTTTGCAACCTGAGCAAATACGACCGTGCTTGACCATCATGACATGCAATGCATATTTCAACTCGCCTGGTAAGGTCACGTCAAGGTGTGCCTGCGCTAACACTCGGTCTGCACTCTGGGGTACCCAGCCTAAAAGACGACTTAACCGATAAACATGGGTGTCGACAGCAAATGACTCTCTTCCAAGACAAAACGACAAAACACATGCAGCCGTCTTAGGTCCAACGCCATTGTAAGAGACAAGCTCTCGCATGGCTTCCTCGTCAGGGACATCCGCGAGATGCTGAAGGTTATAAGCGCCATGACGCTGTTTCACGCTCTCCAGTATGTCTTGTATTGTTTTAGCTTTCTTGTTCGCGAGGCCCCCGGATGCGATGGCTGCAACAACGTCCGGCCGTGCAGCTTTTGCAATAGCTGCGAAGTCATTCCTTCCGAAAGCGGTATCGAGGGAGTGTTTGGCACGCGTGCTGTTAGCTGAGGATGTATTCTGCGATAAGATAGTGCCGATGAGAGATTCTAGGACATTGGGTACGCTACCGCACGTTCTGGCAGCGTTCGCTGAAGGAGATGGCGCACGAAGGCGAGGTGCACCGCCCGGCGTATATTTAGCAAGAAGTTCGTGAATTTCAGTGGCTTCTGAGTTTGTTGGATGATGGAAGGATGGAAATGGAGATGCGGTAGTGTATGCAGAAAGTAGCTTCAGCTTCTTTGAAGCATGTGGAGATGACGGCCCAGCCTGAGCATTTGTGGACAGCGAGACTGGTACAACATTTGTCAAAGGTGTTATTGAACGTTTACGTTTTACTGCAGGCATGAAGGAATGTGCGTCAAGTCCGTAGAACGAGATGAATGTCGAATGCTGAAAAATAATGCAGTGCTCGCAGTAGTTACAAGACGGAAGTTGACGTCTATTAGAACCCACATTAATCATGTAGTCAATAAAACCTTAACCTTGATCTAGGTCTACGCGGGAGTTGCCGCAGTTTTTGCCTTGACAGCCTTGAGTTTCTTCTGAAACCCGAGTCGCTCCTCGAGGCGAAATACTTACATCTACTCTCTCTTTTTGTAACTACCATATTCAAGACCAAAGTACGAAAAGGACGCCATCGATATTTCTGTTTACCATCTGTTTACCAGATAAATGGTTATATTATGAACTGTCGTCGTGGACCAACACGAGCCAAATATTATATTTCAACCCAAGCTGTGGTAGGACCTGTCACACACAAAATGTTAGCGCTTACCAGTATATGCCGCTCATCATTCCCATCCACCATTCTTTAATGTTGAGCCTGATCACAAAGAGGATTGCGCCCAGTTTCAGCCCAAATGCTCGTCACAGGCTATTTGGGGCTCCATTTCTTCCAGTATGTGCTGTAGGTTTAAGTTGGACTATTTTTTTACCATCTCCATGGGTAGTCGAAGGGACAGGATTATTTCTTTCCTGAAGGAGGAACATTATTATTATGCTGCCTTCCAGATCTGAGGTGGGCGCCCACGGACCCACTGTGGCACAAACACATCGAACACTACAAGGCTAGGCGAGTTTCATATGGTCTCCTATATATTTTACGATCATTCCAAAATCCCTGGCGATGTCATTCATTCGTCGTCTGGCATGGCGCCCGCTGGTGCAAATTTATAATACAAGCCATCGAATCGATGTGTCCCGATTCCCGAGTCTATCTCGGTATGTTTGTAACCGCCGAGGATGATGAATGCCACTCCCCCATCAATAATGTTGAATCTTTACGGCTGATCATTTGGTCTTTTCTACTGGAACTCGTGACGTCATGGCCAACCGAAGGTGCGATGGAATGCTGCATGGCGTCTTGCTTCGTTACAACCAGAGCGTCGTAAACAAGAGCAGAGTCTGCGAATGTCTCACTACTGCGGGCAGACGTTCCATAAGCTGCATGCGCCTAACAAGACTGCGAGCTAACCGATATGCTTACTCAGCAGCAGAACCCGCCACTAGCGACTTTGCTTTGTCCTCAAGCTTCGTATTCGAAGGATGTCATTTAGATGTTTGGTCATTCTCCGTCACCATCATCGATTCAGCTTCAGGGGTGATGTAGACTTCTGAACGATATGGAATTGGCTTGAATGCGCCGTGGCCGCTGCTCGACAGATCCTCGCTATGCTCTTTGCTTTGTTCTGGTTTAACGAGGATACAGTCACCGATGGGCTCGCTAATGGCGTAAGGATACAATGCTGAACTTTTCCTGCGTTCCGACGAAATTAATAGAACAAGATCAGAAACCTTTGGTATCACCTAGTTCGATGCTGTAAGTCAGCCTAGCAGGAAGGCTACCCGCCCAAGTCTTTGTGCCTGGCCTCGTCCACCTTGCGGGTGCGATATCTAAAGCTGCGGCACCAACATCTCATGACTTCGAATCTGATCTCATATCACCACCTCGTGAGGAGAATTAATGAAATGGTTGGTCGTCTGCGACGGGTGGTCTACATGATCCTTGGGGGAGCCAGCAGCCTCCAGCTTGTCTGTCTGCGTCTGCCAGTGAGGAGTATTCCCCTGGATTTTCTGTTGTACTTTTGCCCGAGGATCAAACCTTATCATCGATGCGTATGGGGATAGGACCTTACAGACATTATCAACTCGCTGACGTTACACGTGTAACGTTATGCGGCTTCATTTCCTGCACCGTCGGGCAACCTTTGGGCTTCCTGGCCCACTGATCGCACCGTTACTAGCCCTAGTATAGTTGATGTGCACCAACATACTTAGTTTGCTGATGTAGCTGCATGTAGACGTATGTTTTCTGATGGCGCGTCGGGAGCCGCGTGTATACTGAACAGCAGCTCGACGACAACCAGTGAGTACCTGATCTGATCATCATCAGCGATGCATGCTTACTGTTGTTTCGATGATGCGTTCCTTGTTTATGCCACAGATACAGATACATTGGATTTTTCATGCCACCTTGGATCGTCGACTGTGCATGTACTGCTGTCAAGGCCGGTCATTATGTTGTTCCCCGTTGTAGAATACTCGGCCAAAGCTGTACCATGTCGATTTACTGTCAGTCCACGAGGCGCTGGCTGTCCATTTACCCCTGGATTTGTGCACTCCTGGAAGAGCCCGAACACGACATTACTAACTCATGCGCTCCATCGTGGCCATGCACGAAAATATTTTCGGTGAGACCTATCCACTCGTCTTCGATTGATTACATGCTATAAATGCATAGGATGCAATACCATCACCTGTACGTCTTGCAATTCAGAGTTGAATTTGATAGATATGTCAACTTTTTCTACAGTGTCATGCCTTGCTAGCCATTGTCTGCCAGGAAAGGTCATACATCGTCGTGAGATACATCATGCTTCCGGATCCTAATGGGTTAGTCGTACGCTATATGATAGCGTCCTGAGGCACAAGAGCTTCATTGGAGTCGACTGCATGAGTGCGAGGCGTCATTCTGTCAATATTTCTCAGATCGAGTCAGTCCGCTTCAAACAAAAGAGACCGTATTGCATGTTTCTGTAGGCTCAACTTTCATGTTTAGCCATCGTACTGTAGGAGCGGTCATACCAGTGTGAGATTGTGGAAGTCGCTCATAATTTCTTCCTGACGTTTCATCAGCCTAACTTCGGGATACATGCTGGCTATGCACTGCGATGTTCGGACGCAAAGAACCTCGCTTTGCTTTGCAAGTGCGAATTGATTTCGTGTCTTTCCGGAGTAAATCTATGTGAGTTGTTCGAATCTGAAGAAAAGTTTGTGTTGACGGCGTTTAGGACCTGTATATTCACTTCTTACGTTCAGCCATTGTGCGCCAGGAATGGACTGAATTCGTGTCTGCGTAAGATGTGACGATCAACAGTCATACTTGCCCCTGAATTTTGAATTGTGCACACCGTGTTACCCGCTGGCTATGCGCTGTGCTGCGAACATGATTAGTACCCGTAAACCCTTCGAAGCATGATCTGTGAGTGGTTGCTAGTATTCATGTATTGTGAGGCAGTGACTTATGAACGCAGTGTTATTTTTACCTACCAAGCAAGCTGCAACCTATTTACGTCTCGGAGGCTTCCGAAGCTGTGCCTTCTTGCTCATAGCCTCCCACCTGCCCCTCGTTCTCTCCTTTTTTGGAGTGTCATGTTCAAAAAAATTACCGTGATCAGCACTTCTTTCAAGTTCACGTTTTATCATCGCAGAAGTCAGAGTCAAGGCGACAGGATGGCTAAATTATGGTGAGTACCCATCAATAAAATGGTTTAACTGATCCCCATTGTTTGTCATGTATGATACAGCCCGGAGATTCAAACTTCCACATAGGTGCCGTGCCTCCAGGTTTTGGAATAGTACCTGTATCTTGATATTATCTGGGACCGAAGACGCGTCTCCACCGTCATCAAGCCAGTCAACTTGAAACAAAATATACACGCTATTGATTGTGACTCTGACTGTTCTACACGGCGACTAGCTTTCTGTCTTCTTCCGAGTTATCGTTACTACTGGAACAGCCCGTGTGCTTCCAATAGTTTTGCCTGGTGCTGTGCCTAATATTTCCACTTTGTCATTCGCAACTCTCCCTCATCTCACATGAAGTTCTCCGCGTGGAGAGGTGCAAACGTCCCATTGTCATCTGATCAGAATCTGGTTCTCTTTTACGCCACACCATATGGGAACAGTACTCTGGAGCAGTTACACACTGAGTCACATCTGATTCTATTATCACCTACCTTGCAAGTTTTCTGTAGTCTTATCGACAACTCTTTTCGCATTAAATGGAAGTAGGACTTCCAACCTTATGTGTCGTATAAACGGCAATTAAGTGTACGTTTCTGCATTGCTAGAGGTCTCTTATTTCTTTTCCAACGAACTATCATGAATACCCGCCTAGATATAGCACATGGGCTGTTGGATAAGGAAAGAAGCGAAGAACATGCTGACTTCGCGCCCGAGTCATTTTCCACATCAAGTATCTGCCTGTCCGAAGCTCATCCACCTGCCGTATCTGCCTCGCCGTTCGTAATCTCATTTCTGACTCGCACAGACATCTTTAATAGATCCCACCTCTCGCGGTGCCATGCAAATTAGGACATCATACCTTCCGTACTTCACGCCTCAAATCGCCTTCGATTTCGCCGCCGGGCATTTCGTATACACGTGTATTCCCACATCCTGCTGCCGACATGACCTTGCTCATTGTTCGCTGTTCTTGGCTTGCAGCGACTCTGGTTAGACATTTCCTGGGACTGGACTGGAGATATGACCCATGGAGATTCACGCTGATATGTGAAACGATATGCTGTCAGCCATTGTTCCAAGTATATGTCTAAGGAAGGACCTACCCTGCAGAATCTAGTATGACATGAATACACACGAAACGACGGTGGGTACCTCGCTTTTCGCATCACCCATATGAGTATACATTCAGTAGAACCACGGCCGTCCCATCATTCTTTTCATCCTGCGCCACATCAATGGAGTTGCTTTTCCTGCGCTGGAGTTGATTGCTTCTTCAGGTACATGGACGAGCTTACCTGCTTTCTCTAAGCTCCCCGTATCAAGTCGAATCGACAACGCAAACTGCGCATGGACCACCATATTGCCCGAACGGGAGTCTCAACGGCCCCCCTTTCCCCATTCACGTTTCCCATCATGGAGTTCCGGACATGGACGCAGGAAGGAAGGCCACAGGAACGAATCCAGACTCCCATATTGACACGGTGAGCTCGAGTCATTCCGTCATCTATCCCACACTTGCGAAATGGGCGTTTCTCCCTGCTGTCCGAGATACTGGGTCGCACATGCCCAGGTTGTCACCTGGCGATCTAAGCATGTGCAGGGTGCGAGATTGCTGGTCCTGTGATAGAGTATGGAATGATAACTTCTGTGACATCTTATCAGTATGTGAAGAGACTGAGGGTAGGAGGATCTTGTGCGCTGAGACTGAGTGGTGTCAGTAGTAATGTTCGCAGAGTGCCATACCTGGGATTTGTCCTGAAAGTGCTGGAACTGCAATGACGAGTCGTACGGTATATTATTTTTGCCTCAAGGCAAAAAGATATCGCTTACGATCACATTTGCACGAGTTTGACAGGGCTGTAGCCTTTCAGCAGAAACAGAGTAATGTATCAGACCATTCATAGCCCACACGGTCTGTCATTCATTGCCTGTGGTGCCTATGACCGAAGTGAGCTTCGAAGTAGCTATTGGTTGAGCAAAGCCTACGAAATTTTCGTATAGCACTGGTCTACTATGTCTTCCTTGATAAATACTGCCAGTGTGTCGCCCAGCCTCAGGGCATCATTGACATGCCATCACGGACAGTCTCGTGTGCTATCACCATATATATCCGGCTTGGCCCGTCCTCGCGGCGGTTTCGGCTGTCAGATCACGATCGGTCGATGTGAAATCAGCTTTTTGCCAGTGATCTGTGGGCTCAGCGCTCAGCACTGGGCTCTGCTTTATCTTTATCTTGCTTAGTTCCTGGCACCGTCAGCATCATCATTATCATCAGTGCCATCGAATGAATTGCCTCCCCGCTTTGTTCCATCGAACGAGAATGTAGGGGAGGAGTACAGGGCGGCCGCTCAATTCAATGACAGATATCAGTACGGATCATCATATCTCCTCCATATTTCTCCTTCTTAGTGTAGAGGACCCTAACTGTGTACACATCCCGGTTGCCAAATTACTGCACTTGGACCTTCGAGGAAAAAACTGGAACTCTCCATTGATCACGAAGCAGAGCAACCTGTCATAAGCTAATCACCTTCTCAGCTATAGCCACTTTGGGTGCTGGACACTAGCATGGATGTGTATTTGTGTATAGTGTATACCTCCTCCGACCGTCCGACGCTCGATGCTTGCGGTATAGCGCGGTATTGTTTGGACGGATGTTTCCAGCGCCTGGGGCTGATATTGGATGTTTGAATAAGGCTGGGATGTTATGAACTGATGGTACTTTTCCTGACGGTACGGAACGCAATGATTTCTGGCTGATAACGAAAAGATGGCAACTTGATACAACCGGTCCTATCACATTCCATAGCAATTGCATCATCGTTTGCGACACGAATACGCGAACCATTCACTTTTTGCGGACCGTAATACCTTCAGGTTTGAACATATGAGAGCAGAAATTCCTAGGAGCGCTGGCACGAAGCTGTGCACGCAATACGGCAACCCATGTCATCGGTATGATATGCCGATATGCCGGCACATGCGGGGTCAAAAAAATGTGGTCTATTTTTTTTGAATCCGGATTTGCTTCCGCCTTCGAGGAGGTACGGCACCAAATTTAAATATCGCATTTTTGGTTAGGATCGCGCCTCTTTTGCTACGCGCACTGGGTATGCTCCGGTAAACCAAACTACTTGCGCTCTCGTGCTGTACAACCTGCTCCATATCCTGCAGCCCATCAACAGTAGTTTTCTTATGTTTGTTTTTGACGGTATGATAGAACCTCGATCAGGTATGACGCACTGTGGGCTGTTGCCCGGTACCTGTGTAGTCAGCCCCTCGAGCGAATTCACACACACCTGTCCACTTACGACATACGGTCTCCCACCAAATTTATGTATTGACCGGCTTTCTAACCCTCGTGCGCAAGCTTTGCAAACATTTCCGCGGTCATAGATAAACGCATGGCAAAAAATAGCAGACCCATGTACGAGCGGGACGAACGGATCTAGGACTCGGAGGGGCGCACACGTGCAAAACAGATATGCCCAAATCGTCAGTAAACCCGCGCGATATACACCGTAAGAGTTTGGTCAACGTCCCTCCCACATACGCAGGTGACTGATTCGAATGCTTTTTACGAGAATGGTAGGACCGGAGAGACCGATATGCCAATCAGCACCGGAACGAGGTATGGCCGTGGTTCCAAGCGGTGCCTCATAGCAGAGCTACTGCGCGTGCGATCATCATCCGAGTAGAGGGAACGGATTCGACGGAACGAAAGGGATAGGAGGATACGTGCAAAGATGAGAGTAACGAGAGGAGCCTTTGCTTGACAAATAACCTGTGCTAGGCCAAAAATACGATGGCGTCATAGCGTCCTCTGCAACACAGTACATAAAATATGTCAAGCGCATCAAAGTGAACTCACAGGTGATGTGAGACTCATCGAGTGTGTGTGGACCTACGGTCCGATGCAACATGATCTCTGTCTATGTATTGAGCTCAACATTGTATAGCATTACGGCAAAACTCCACCCTTGGGCGCAATTGTAGGCGGAGGGGACCGTAGGGCACAAAATACACTGAAAATCGATAAGGGAAATGAAATCGATACCGGTGCGAAAGCGCATACCCCAGTTGGGCGTGGCAAAGCGGCGGCAATGTCCACGGGAGTGGTATTTTGAATGGGAGGTGCTGAGGAGGGCGGGAGAACACAGGCCTGATGCGCGTTCGGGGAGGCGCGCGAAGGCTACGGAAAGCAGTTCTAGTGGACGGTATTCTTGCCACCAGTGGAGGGACACGGACATGCCAAAAGCACGAGCGCACAGCCACAGGGCGTAGTATCCAGGTGTTTGAGCAGGAATTTCCTTTTTCTGCACCGATGACTCGTAGAGTCAAGTGATTAGTCCCATGAGATTTGGTGGCTCATTCCTGGTTGAGAAATGCGGACGAACGCATGGGTCATGTATGCCTGAAAGAGCAGTCTGAATAGGCCAGATCAGAGATAGAGCCCGATAGAGCCCTCAGATGGCATGCAAATCACGAATCGTCTGTAGATGTGGTATGCGAGGAAACATCGGGTGGACCATGCATGAAAAGCGCAAGTTCCGCGTAAGATGAACAGGGCTGGCCCAGTGCGCTGGTGCGTCGGCGGAGGGATGCAGATAAACTTTACTCGCATGCCGCGGGAAGCAAGACAATGCAGGCAGATTACGTGGGTATTTACTGTATTTACCGAGTCAGCACGAGATTTGTCGCAAATGGAATATTTCTGAGATAACAGCGGAGCCAGTACATAATTCCGGGGAAAGTAGCCGGAGCACTGGAGGCCGAAGAAGCAGTCAGACGGCGAAAAGACAATAATGCTCTGCTTGGCTGTGTTTGGTGACAGAATGGATGCTGGGCTGACATCAACACATCCCATCCCATATCTGGACATACGTCCCTCACAGATCCATTTTTGGATGAGACAATGAAAGAGAACCCGGCTGTGAGCTTACGAAACCAAGGCTCGTGCTTGGTTGGATGGGGAGGGAATTAGGTTCGACGGAACTTTCGACCCTTCCAAACTAATCGAAATTGATCGAGAGTATATAACAAGCCCTTCGTATTGTTTTCGCTTTTGTGCCCCACCAGCTCAATTGTTCTGCCCTGATCGCGCTTGTGAGACAAAGAAAACCATTCAGTAACTCGTTCTGCACCTGCGAAACCTCATTATCCCCCCCCTCATCCATCCATCCCATTCATCCCCTTTCCCAGAACGAGTTTGCTCACCTAGCAGCCATTGTTCTGTAGCTCGCCGACTGAACAATCATGCCTGCCCAACGCACTCGCGATACCCCTTCTCGATGTGAGCCATTCATCCTATATCCAGAAAACAAAGGTGATCTGCAAAAATACTGTCGCTGACCACTCACCTTCCCTCTAGCACTCGAAGTGACAACGGACACATTACAACCCCCGACCTTAGCCATCATTTCACCGACGCCGCGCGCCTTCACCTTCCCTATTAACAAAAACGAGACCACTCCTTTCTCTTCGCCTTCTTCCTCGCCCTTCGAGCCAGACCTCAGGACGCTTTGCACTCCCCCCACGCTCCTTCGCACTCTTTCACCCGTTTCTCCTTCATCGTCATCAATCGCATCATCGACATTCTTTTCATCATCATCGTCCGTTACGACTGTATCCACAAATCCAACATCTCCAGCATCCACGCACAAACGGCGCAAGTCGTCGATATGCAGCGATGTCGAACGTCGGCCTAAAAAGGGCGATGAGGACTATATCAAGCGACCAGAGAATGCGTTCATACTCTTCCGGAGAAAGTGCTGCGAAGATCGTCAGCTTGCACAAGAAGAGGCCGCGGCAATATCTCCCGTTGATGGGCCCACAAAGAAGCAGCGGCAAGCCGATCTGTCGAAGACGATCAGCCAACAGTGGAAAGCACTCTCACCTGAGGAACGCTTGTATTGGGAGGAGCTGGCAAAAGAGAAAAAGAAGGAGCATGAGGCGATGTATCCCAATTATGTATATCGCCCGCAGCGCACGAAGGATAGGAAGGGAAAGGCTGCGAAAGGGAAGAGAGGAGAGTACGAGCACGAGACCGATACGGAGAGCAATATCTCGTTCATGTTACCGCTCTCGCCACCGACTGCCACGAAGCATGGACGCTCAGCATCGGCTCCTACGCCACCTCTTGGACGACAGATGATCCAAATTCCCAGCCTTTACATGCCCTCTTGTCCGACCTCGCCGTCTTTGCTTCCAATGATAAGCCGGCGCTCTTCACATCCAGACCACTCGCTGGAATCGTCTACGTTGCAATTCGATTACGCGCCACCAAACGATAATAATCTAATGCCCCACGCGGCATTCACGCAGCAATGCAATATGCACTTTGCGTCTAGCATGAACGTGAGTAGTCCACATCTCCAGCGTTTGTCTTACTGTAGCTGATTGTCCTTCGTATGAGCAGTCCGAAGGGTTCTACCAAGGAATGTATGATCTATCAGCTCAGACACCTACAGCGGAAAAGAACAATCTGCCAATCTTACATCCTCTCACGATGCCGGATGGCAGTTCATTGCTCCGACCTTCTCAGCAGATCGCTTCACCGGCATCGTCTGTTACTTCTGGTTCTTCTGGGCCACCTTCGCCGCACTCAGGGCCATTCACACCACATGAAGCTCTACCAGCGGCAGCTTTCTCCTTCCACGAAGCTTCTCATGACCTTCAGAATACATCGTGCTCGCCCGACTCGCAATCAAACAATGCACATCTCGATATGCATCACGCTTATCCCGATTATGGATGGGATAGCACAGCGACTTGGGGCGGCAGTGGAGACATGCTGCTCAACGACGATTTCGATTTGAACTCGATCCCCGCAATTGAGCTTGGACTACCGAAATTTGGAGATGATATGTCGCAGCTCGTTGCGTCACTACCATCGACGTCCTACCATGTGGACTATCAGGATCCCTTTAACCATGCTCATCACTACGGCGATAATACCCAGAACCAAGAGCCATACGAGCAGCTGTTCGACCTGAGCGACATGATTGCGCACGGATTCTGATTACCCTACCGATGGATGCTGGCATCATCGGTCTGAACTCTTGCATGGACGCATGTACATTCCTATACTTGCTGCGCTGCCGTTACGATTTCAACTTCTCTTCTATCTTGTATTATTCTTGTTTATGTGGATATTGTTGTTGGATTAGTGTAGTGATAGCTTTTTGTTTATAGTCCCACTCACCTCATCTACGGATGGATCTCCCACAGCATTATGTTTTTTATGCTCACGCCCCACGAATCCCCCACCATCCATTTTCACTTCATGATACCTTGGTCACCCACCGCCACGCATATACCCCGGTTGTTGTAACTTTTTTCATTACTTATACGAGTTGTACGTACCGAGGTCAAGCGCAGCACAATCGATGTCTTTTAGACTGAACGTAAACTGATTGTATGCATTGAGTCGTGAAGTAACCACAGACGCGTCGAGACAAGACCTGACCCGCCTAAATCTAGACTGTCGAAACAAAACGGTCAACGCGACAGTGGAGCTTATCAGAAACTAATGAATGTTCTTGCCCATGCAGTGGAGTAAAACGCCACGAAACTTTACGTTCAATACGACCTGGTATAGTGGCCTAACCCGGAAATGAAAGAAGGTTGTGATAGGCCTCTTACGCCCATCAGGTGTACTTGATTGGATTATTTCCGCCTGATGTTCTTACGAGCGCTGATTCAGACTGATGTCTCGCTCTTCTGGTGCAATAATTGGTGAAGGACATGGTGGGGACAAAGAAAGAATGGTTACAACAAACCGCACGCTCTGGTTGACGGTTTCCACATTGCAGAATGACGTTGCCACAACTACCTTTTGCATTGTTCAGGGCAGGTGCGGTGAGGTGTGCACGTGACCGACGTGACGCGTATAGGTTACATGCTCCTCAAGTTTCCATGCAGTTCTGAGCCTTGTCTATGGCATCCATACTCCTGCGCCCTCGCTGCAGCAGACGTTGACCAGCTGCCTCAAACCTCAACGACAAACGTTACTCAAGCTTGTAATACTGGCGATGCTGTCAACTGCTGTCGTCTCCAAGCCAACATTGCTGGTGAGCTTTTGTACATGAAGTCCTTAGGTTTATATAAACGAACCAGTTGTGCGTGTTTGATATCATTACCATCATCGTCTAAGCTGACTGCACTAGTCAGTTTCACCTGACTCTTGGCTCCGCCTTCCTCATCCAGAGCGCCACAAAGTGCCAAATACCGCCTAGGTTATTCGCCTCTACAAGACCGTCCTTTACCTACGTGGATCGTGCGATTCATCTGGTCTTTAGGCCTAGCCTCATATCCACCGACTGAAATAAGGGCCTCATCCACTCTCGGGGTGAATAGGTGTCCCTCATAGCCCAAATTGAAAATATCCCAACGCCTTTGTTTGGCTTCTATCCGATTTCTAATCACAACGACATTCTCGGCTTCTTAACATCGTCTTACTCAAATAATCCGTACTAGGATGGTCGTTGCATGCTTTATTACTAGATAACCATATCGCTAGCCCTCAAGTACGTGTTTAGTTCAACTCATGCTCCGCCTCATTTTTTCTTTCTCGTTATTACCCAAAAATTCGATGGAAATATGTCAAATCATTCTATCCTGATTATTCCACGCTCTTCACGGTCGATGCTGCACGTTTCCTCTACTCCCGCATTCTACAAACACTCGTGCTGCGGTAACCTAACTTAAACCGCACTATCAGCCCCCCGCCGCTCATCTTCTCTTTGGGCCCTCTGCCCCGCGGCAACCTTGCGCTCATCAAAATATTCGGGGATAGATTATAATCATGAATTCGCTTCTATCTTGCCGCTATGAATCCATCTCGTCCGGGTGGAATGTGTAATCTATTGGGCAACTTCCTCTAACGTCCAGCTCTCTGACTCACGTGATGCCGCGTCTGACGATATCTCCGCATTTCCCGCTCTTATGAAAAATAAGACGACTGTTATTTCTCCGCGCTACAATTCACCACTTTTGGTGCCTCTGATGAAGACGATTTTGGTACATTGTCACTCTTGATCTTGTATGTCGTGCAGCGATTGTACACGAAGACATGTCAGGAAACAGGGAAAACACACGGGACCGCAGCTATTTTCGACCTGTGCCTTCGTCATCTGCGATCGAGGGAAGATGCAAATCCGCGGCTTCAGAAACCTTACACCTCTCTTTGATCTTTCCAAAAGACGTTTGCAATTTATCCGTCCTTGTCGTCGTGTCAAATCGCCACCCATCATACTCGCGCCGAGTTGCCTTTTTAGGACGCCCTTCTGCTTCTCGCCTTTTGTTTTGCTCTTTATATCAGATGCGGGCATTTAACTCTACTTCTGAAAGCAGAACCTTGAAGGTGGGACCAAAACCGTAAATTCCCATTTCTTTTGGCCGCGCCGGGGTTTGCGGACGAAATTGTGCACCATGTGCACCTTTATCAGACCAGGTCACATCTAATCTTTCTGCACATCTTATTACTCCTCCCCGCGGTATATTTGGCAATTGAATACTTGGTCGGCGCTGCTCGCGGATTTTTACCATCACTCTGTGCGGCGCTGCACTTGATAAGGATTGCTCCGGCTACTATGTTTGTAGGAATCATCTGCTGGCTCGCCAATATAGTCAAAGTGAATTCCACCTCCGCGTTCTCCCTTCACACACTCGAATCCACGTACCTCGTCCCTGGTAAGTTGCTATTGTCTTCCAAGACAGTCATAAATTCATAATACAAATCATTCGCCCGACGGTGACGGGAATGTCAGTGCGGAGAATCTGCAGGACCATTGGAAAGCGCGTTTCCGAGCTCCCGGGTTTCCCCCACCTCGATGTTCGCGAAACCCATTTCTCTATATCAGAAGTCAAATCGATGTACAATGGTTGTTAATCACTTCATTGATCGCGTCTTGCTATGGGGATGTGCACTACCGCGACGATGGTATCGGAAAACCAGCTTGCATCGGTCCCGCTACGTTAGCTACGGGTTGCATTGTACACCCCGTTGGCCGATGTCATGTAAATATCCACGTTTCGATTGTCGAGATGGCAATGGACACGTTTCACCCACGTTCTTGAGGTGCTCCCGGTGATACTAAAAGAAGACGAGCATCCGGTCAGGGATCGCATCGTACATTCTAGCCTAAACTCAGCGGGCCAGAAGTCGTGCCTCGAGGGAACTATTGTAGTCTCGTGCAGTGTGACGCATGGCTTATTTCTCGAACACACTTGTCGTTTGGTCTTAGAGCTGTCATATCAATATAGAGAAAATTCATAACTTTATCCGATAATACATTTACAGACTGCGGGCCTGATGTGAATACCTCATTATCTTCCCGTGTCCTTCATGGCCAATTGTCGAAACCCAAGTCGACGCCTGAGAAGATCAAATGTTCAGCATACGTGATACTTGAAACAATAAACGAGGGGTAACGTACCAAAAGGAGGCAAGAGAAACCTGGCGGAAGCCCGGAAGATGAGTATCACTGACGAGATACCATGAGTACGACTCACCTCTTCTGTTTCCCACTCGCCGCAACGCTATCTAGTTTCTCGATATCCTCTTGCGTCAATACCTGAGAAGCACCCAAGGCACCCTTCAAGTTCGACTCGATACGGGAAGGAGTGACGGACTTCGGAAGAACGACCATGCCTTTTGCGACTGGGTACCAATATAGATTCATCAGAGTATATCACGGGCATACAAGCCAAGGACTACGTACGGATGTATCCGAGCAGTACGTCAGGAACTGGAATAGCATGTTTATTAGCAATTTGAGTAGCAATCTCGTCGCTGAGCAGAGGAGAATTTGTAGAACCCAAAGGTGAGTAGGCTTCCACGACGATACCCTTAGATTTGACATATTCCACGAGTTTCAACTCAGGATTGTAGATATTCAACTCAAGCTAAAAAAAATCTGTAAGATTCATCGACCGTAGGCCTCGTGCTTACTCACCTGATTAACGGCGGGGACTATTTCTGCCTTGGGCAATAGCTCCTCCAGCTTCTTTTGCGAGAAATTGGATACCCCGATACTTTTGACTTTGCCTATTCAAAATATCGGTCATGACTGATTCCTGAGAGCAACATAAACCACGGACCGTCTTTCAACAATGCTTCCATTCCTTTCCACGACGACTCGAGGTCACAAGAAGCATCGACGTCGAAAGTTCCAGTTGAATTCATCGGGAAGACAGGGTGATTTCCGTTTGGATTTAAAGCAACAGGCCAGTGCAAAAGATAAACTATACTCCAAAATGTCAGTGAAGGGATAAGCTACAGCCCAATCTGCTCACGGTCAACATAGTCGGTTCCAAGGTTCGCGAGAGTTTGATCGAGTCCATCCTGGATCTTGCTGAAGAAAGTGCACCAAACTTTGCTGGTGATCTAGGGAAACAATTGGAATGTGTAAGTTCACTGGATACCTAGGCCACTCACAAATATCTCTGATCTCGGTACACCAGACGCGCGAATACCCTCTCCTACTTCTTTTTCATTTCCGTATAGCCTGATTAGGTATCTTAAGGCCGAGAATGTTAGCTTCGGAGACTTGGAGACATACCAGGCGCAGTCAATGTGTCGGTAACCACTTCTGAGGGCGACTTCAACTGCGTTGGAGACCTCATTGGGCTTGGACTGCCATGTTCCTTGAATGAACAAAAGAAAGGAAGGTGAGTGCTGAGTTGGTGTCAGAATAAAGATTTGTGTACCAAAGCCTACTGCAGGAATATCAAAACCGCTATTGAGCTTGATGAGTGGGGTGGACATAGTGATTTCTGGTCTCCAAGTCTGAAGTCTGTGAGTTCTCTGGTACTCCAAGTCACGGATAAAATGTCAGCCGTTGACCAAAGAAGGAGCGAGCTTCGACATACCTGTTCAAATTCGTGGGTATACTAGTCGTACGGCGTTGGTTATCTGGGCTGATGGCTGGGTTTGCCACAAGGGGCTTTTATATGGTCCCTAGAAAACCGTCGTTATCTTGTCCAACTGATGAGATGGCATCGTCATGCTATCTCGTGGCAAGTGTATTGCAACCGGTTTGGAGATTCCGAATGTACTTTGTACTGCGACGTTCCTTCAAGTTCAAGTCGTACCCGTGCTGCTTTTCTCTCCATTTCGTTATATGTAGATGACCTACCTGTAATCCTTGAGTGTGTGTGTGATTCAGAAAACTTGAAGCGTATGCTATCCAGTACTGTTGCACTCGTAGAGATGCATGTGATTTGGCGTACTAGTAACACTTTCCAGCCTGAGCGCCACCACGTGCACTGGACTGATCCTATGATGTTTGGCCAGTGATCGTCAATCATTAGTATTTGTTCGTATACCAGCAGCTGTTTCTCAGTAATGATAGCCAGCGTTAGAGATTAGGGATAATGAGGAGCCATAATAGAGCTTGCGGATGGACGAGTCAGAGATATAAATTTTGAGTGGATTAAAAGCTATAGAACATGCTGTGTAGATGTACTTTCTGGTTTTTGGTATCATGATGTTACTTACGATTAGCTTTCATTCATTTCAAGTTTTACATGACCTTATGTTCTAGCCATTGTCACCAACCACCGCTCAAGTTGCGGGAGTTTCGTTTCCGTGAATCGAGTCAGAGAGGACACAAAATATGAAATATACAAATAGGTAGAGGAGATGAGCGCTGTCATCACTGTAATAATATTGATCATCAGTTCTTCATTTGTCCTGAGCATCCAAGTCCGCAGAATATGGATCGTTTTCGTTTTCGTCATTTCCACCCAATTCTTCCCTTTCTAAGGGAAGAGAACCCTCAGATAGCAACCTGCCGACCCTCAGCCAGCCTCCCTCTTGTGCAAGCCGTATCCTGGTAGGCATGGAGAAAATCGGTGCAACAGGACTCTGTCTGCACGAGACCGTGGAGGGTAGGAGTTGAGATAGATATCTGGCTACCAGATTCGGATCATCCAACAGCGAGCCTCCACCGAAGAAGAAGCGAAGAGTTTCGTGACGAGGTGCAGGGAGCGGTCCAGTCGGAATAGTGCGAGCGTCGATGCACAACGCCAGAGACTCTAGCTTGCGACATCCTGCCAGTAAAGAAGTGACACCGTCGAGGGTAATCCTGGGCTGCGCACTACGATAACAAATCTCGCAAAGATGAAGCAAACGTAAGTCGGGCCATGCTTCAGCTATTTCATTGCATACCCCATCTCCCAATGAAAGTACGGATTGCAGTTCGAGAGTAAGAGACAGAAGCTTGGGAAAGTTGAATAGATACTTGATAGTGTTGTAGCGAAAAACATAGGTTCGAGCTTGAGTGTTCATTCCTTCCCATATCGATAAATTCGTCAAGGACCCACAGAGGGGCCTGTGAGACAACCTCTTCAACGCAGACCTGAGAACACCGGGCTGAAATCCATCCTGAACCCGGATGCAGAGCGATTCGAGCAAAGACGGCAAGACATCGAAGAATGCCATTAACGAGGAGGAAACTTTAGTTGATCTGATAGTCAAGTCTATGAGGCGAGGAAAGATACGCATATCCCCGACTAGCTGAGGAATTTGATGCCAATCATGAGACGAAAAAACCCAACTGAGATGGGTAAGGGATGGTAAGCGTGAGAGGTGGACAATCGCCTCCAAGTCAAGTTTGGCACAGTCTAGTCGTACGAGATTGTTCCAGGAGAGGACTAAACTTGACAACAGTTCAACGGACTGCTTAACTTTTGAGAAATAATGGCCCAAGTGCACAATCGTTGCATTTGGACACGATACGGCAATCAAGGGAAATATTGATTGTAGTGTGTTTCCCATGTCAGAAAATGGAATCACGATCTTCGTAAGTCGGGGGTTTAGAAGAAGGCGAAGGAAGGGGGCCATCGTGTCACGGTTGTCGCGAAACTCTAATTCGTGTATGTTGGGAAATAGCGGTTCAGATGACGGAGACAAGCATAAGGCAGCATAGAGACTCGGAAGCATACGCGACTCTTCAACGGATGGGACGCGCAAAATGCGTATCCGTTTGGCATTTGTCTGTATCGAAGTCCAATTTTCTTTCGTCAAGGGCCTTCGAAGTTCCTAGATACATTTAATAAGATTGGATAGAATGAAAGAAGCCATTCAAAGCAACAAGATAGAGAACAAAAACCTACAGCATAACGCCACTCGCTGACAGTATTTATATCTCTATTCCACGAACTTGGAGGTAGACAGTAAAGGAGAGGTCTGATACTGGTGAGTTGGTACCAGAGCTTCGCCAACGCAGGTTCTGAGAAAGAACGACATGACCTGGCGAGAGCAGCGAGAGTCTCGCGGCTGGACTGGTCACTTTCGATGAGGTGGCCAAAGATGTTTGTTAGGACTTCATTGATCAGGAGACATCTGTGCATGCTTAAAATTTCGAACCACTTTGAGGGGTAGTACTTACGCCCTATTTATCTGGGCAAGAACCCGGAACGACCCAGGACGCTCGATTGTGATATGGCCACCGAGCAACGAGTGGTCAATAAATAGACAAAGGAACGATATAAAGTACGTAACAAAGGTCAGAGGAAGTGATTACATTGACAGAAGAGTATTATGAAGTGGCAGTGGCATGGGCACAGAATACACAAACAAGTATGTCTCTAGCTTTTGCGAAAACAAATAAGCAAACATCAACATATACCAGGCACTCTCGTCTATTCTACCTTCTTTCGTGAAAACTGTGAACATGCGAATAATATGTTTGCATGAGTCATTTGAAGGGATAAAACGAACATCATACTCACAAGCGTGACAACTGTGCCATCGTCGAGAGCTTCCTTCCGTGGTACATATTCAAATCCAAACACTACGGGCATAATTACCCGCCATGCTGCCCAATACAACACCCCGGCGACCATAATCGCGATTCCAACAAGACAATACCTGAATATATAGATTGGAATCAGTGGACATGACTTGGACGATCCGCCAAGAACACATACAAATAATATGGTAGTGGAGGCGTATCGCCGACTCCACCTGCGGGACGGAGAAATGGAGCAACGAGCACTAGGTATTTTCAGTTTAGCGTAGCTAATTGGTATAACTTTAGTTAAATCACTTACAGAATACGGCGGCAGCAAGGAAGAATACTGCCACGGGCCACCACACTGTGCACAAATTGTCATTAGTATCTGTATCTAGGCGTGGAATACAGACGCAGGCTCACCTTTGAAGGGCCGGACCGCGTGAGGCTTCTTCCATCTCAGCCAAAACAGACCCTGCAAAGATATGATGTTAGAGTCGAAGAAACAGGTTCATCACATTTGTCACGTACAATCACGATGAATAAGTTAATGATCTGCTGAGGATAACCCTCAATGTCAAGAATAAATGGATATGCGACATTTGGAGGTGGCCCGAGAATGATAATAACCTACACAGTTTGAGGGAAAATAGACTGTAAAAGTTAACTTGACCCTTACCGATGGGATCAGGTGGATAATAAGCCCGGGGAGAGGTGATTTACCTGTTGGCCAGTTGGATGCCCAAAATCTGTTACCAAAAGGTAGAGGAATGCCCTCCTTCGCGAGTTCTGTAAGCAGACTTATTGATTAGGAAAACAGTATTATCGTGATATAAAAGTAACAAACCTTGATTAACACGAGAAGCTGCGAAAGTCTACATCGAGTACGTCAGTGGACAATTGTACGAGTTGGGCACCGTAGTGCTTACTATAGTAATGACATTCTATAACCAATTCTAGTTAGTAATCATAAAACAACGAAGTGAAGATAAGCTTACCCCCAATGCACTACACATTCGTGAACAGATCGTAAGTATGCACACCATGGAAATATAATTATAAACACCTGAGTGCAACGAAAACAGACAACGCCCTTTCTGCGGCATTTCCAAACACTTGCCCAAAGAACAGTGAAGCAACAGTCACGCCGCTATTCTGAATTTCTTCCTTAGTGGCTGCTGCAAAGTATGCAACATTGGCAAGGAGGTATAACACCGCACAGATGCCAAGACCAAGAGGTCCAGCGATGCGAAGCGTTCGCACGGGATCACGAACGTTGTTCATCACGTAGTTGACATTTGACCATCCGGAATATGCGTTGAGAACTTTGAAGGTGGCCGTAGCATACTAAGGTACGAATGAGTATAGAGTTATGACAGGACGGTGGGACGTACATCATTGCTACTTTGGGAGCTACCAGCAAACGCGTTGCGGAAGTTTGCATGAGGGTCTGCAACACGTGTCTTTCCAGAGAGGACCACCCAGCCTATTGCAGATATAACTCAGGGTCATCGACACGCATATTTTACAAAGGGAAAGAACCTGTGATCACAACGAAAAGTAGAATGACGATCTTGAACACACTGAGGGCCTAGTTTGTTTTTTTGTCAGGCGTTATAATTGATTGAGATTACAACTGAGTATGTGCTCACGTTCATTATAAAGACACCAGTACGAGGAATTAGACCGTGGATTATAGTGACAAAGAATATAACTGCAACGATACTTGTACCGAGTCGTCGAGTAAAGGACTAGCAGACGCACCACCTAATGCAATACCACGCTCAGTCCATCGCCCAGCGTCTTGATTTGCAGATACAAGAATACTGCACAAGTTGCAGTCAGTAACAAAACTCGTAACCCAAATGCTCCCAAATATTGTCCTCAGGAAAGGAATGATAGCCAAACCAACGATACAGAGAGCAGAAATCATCGCAGATAAGAAAAAACTTACTTCTGAGCGAAAACCTATACCATCTTTTCAGCTTCTTCTTCACAGTCAAAACGCATGACAAGCACTCACAATACAACCTGCTGCAGTGAAACCCAGCAGGATAGCATTTGTAGCGAACACGATGGTAGCGAGATAACGAGGACGTCTATACACGGCCTCGAGATACACCTTTTCGCCTCCGGATCTCGGGAACATAGTACCAAACTCAAGCCATATGAAGAGTCCACAGAAAGACAGAACGAAACCAAGGACCCAAAGCATGAGCGAAGCTCCGACAGATCCAACAGACAACAATATGGAAGATGGAGTGGAAAATATTCCTGTACCGACGATACGGCCTACAATGAGCAGCGTGCAACTGAACACGCCAAGGTGACGACCGAGACCACCGGCAGCATCTGTACTCGAAACTCTTGTTAGTATATTTTTGTTAAGCTTGGAACAAAGTAGGTTCGTAAAGCTGCAATTTGCAGCAACAGGACAAGATTTAGTAGCAAATCGTACACTGCCATTCGCAAGAGATATGGATTATGCGGCACACGACGATGGGTGATACCAAGATTTCATTAGACAACTCACCTTCCTCGAAAGACAGTTCTCCAGGGTTAAGATCAGGGTCTTTTGCTGTCGTAATTTCCACCTCAGCGGACACGATACTCTCGCTATCTCTGCTCTTCGTCTTCTCCGCTACAGTGGCTGAAACTTCCTCGCCCTCCCTGTCTGTGGTGTCTTTAGCCTTGAAGACCGGTAGGAAACGTGACAGGAGTGCCATGTCAGATGAAGCTTTTAGCGGCTCCGACGTGTCAGTCAAATGTGCAGGAAACAAGGAAGGAGCGGGCGTCCGTTTGGGATCCTATCATACTGGCACTTTTAGAGGAGCGCGAGGGAGCAGATAACGTTACTGTAACAAGAATGGCACAGGATGGCGCAACCTTATCGCATATTCCAAAAAGTGATAGGCGCTGTAATACACAATATATATAACGACGACGATCAGTCCGGAATGTTTTTTTTAAATATCTCATTACTCGTGAGCCTGTCATATCAGTGCTCGTATGACAGGGACTATCGTGAGCCTATATCATCACACCGGCAGGTCGCCTGGATTTGTGCGCACGCTACAGTAGGCTAAATTCGCCAACACAACCACATTTCAAACCTTTTGAAATTGCACGCTCCTATTGCATATCAGTTCGAGAATACAGGTTCACAGCTTGCACTACACTCAACAAAAATCATCGCTGGAGGAAAAATGTTTAACTGGCAAGTTGTCGGGGCTACATTGCAAAGTGAAAACCGTCGGCGTCATCTAATCAGAAGAATAGGAAAGCTTACCTTGACTTCATCGCCAACTTTTCGTACGTATACTGCTGGTCTCTCAGCTGTTTTTGCACCGTGCTCACCATCATCCCACATATAGCTGACGCCCACCGCAAGACGTGTGCCATCACAGTTGAATGCAAGCGAAGGTATAGGTGCGTCGTATTTGGGATACTGGCGCAAACGTTTCTTCGATACGTGGTCCCAAATGGAGACAGAGCCGTCAGAGCCAGCGGAAGCAAATGTATTCAGGCTGAAACCGACAAAATACGATCAGTGATATAAAATATTAAAATATTGAAAAAGAAATAAGAGGATTCAGGAAAAGCTTACGTGGGGTGGAAAGCGAGAACGTTGACAGGCCAAACATGATCAACGCCGTCGGAGGTTACTCTATGACATTTGAACGCATACTTCTTTGCTTGTACTTCGGGGCTTGGGTCGAAATATTCCACAGCAATTCTTCCCTCTGCAGACCCCATAGCATAACCTGCACAAATTCAAGTAAAAACATGATAAATATGATCGAAAAAGAGGAAAATATTGCGCATGGCAGTATAGACCTGCACGGAAAAAAAACAAGCTATTGTTCAGGCTCACCTTGACCGTCTATCATGCAGGCCATGGATCGCGTCATGAACTTTAAGCTACTCTCTCGCTGCTGTGATATTTGGCCCATATTGCGGATATCGTATATGTTGAATAATCTACTAGCCATGGCTACTACTAGCGTATTTTTGATAACATCAATATGATATACGCGTTCCGGTTGTTTGTGTGTAGATTGTTCAGGTGAAGAGGCACGAGGGTCCCAAAACCGCACTGTCTGGTCCCATGAACCTGTCATAGTAACGTCTGAAGAGGAATGTGGTATGTAAATATGAGGAAAAAAGTATGGCTGTGTATTTCACGTACTTAGTTCTTGAGAGTGACTCATACAAGAAATAGCGTTGTCGTGCTGGCCAAGCACAGTGGCCTTTTCAGTGGAGAGATCCAACCTGTCATCGATGTCAGTTTCGACGAAGCCGCAGTCATTCTTTCTACATACTCTCGGATACATGTATCAAGCCCACCACTATATGCATGAGCTGCGTCTGAGAAACAACATGCAAGAACTGCAGCCCGATGGTCGAACTTGGCCTTTTGTTCGTTAGAGGCAACATCGTAGAGCCTGACGGTCTAAGAGCTGAACGTGAATATGAAACTAGTTTTAGAACCAAAGCTGTTGTACACACTGTGTCCCACGCTGATACGAGCAAGTGGTCAGGGTTTGTTGGAGAAAAGCGCACAGAGGATACGCTATCAAATGGTGGAGAGGACAGTTCTACTTGTTCTAAAGAAAGACTTCATCAGAAACATGCCTTAAAGATGAATGAAGACATACCAGACATGGTAAAATTACTCGGATTTAGCGCTTTGCAGTACTACCCCCAAGGTTGTAGCCTTCTCGTTGCAACTTCAAAAGCCTACTTCACGTCACTAGACGCAACTAAGGTTAGGTCTGATTGACACGTGACTTGGAGGTGCTGCATATGCCGGACGGAGATTCAACTGCTTCAATACAAGACTTTCCTCATCGAGTCGTTGGCCGGGTAGAACAAAAAATACGACGAGTTTCATCGAGTCCAAGGTTATCGAAAAAGAACGAAGTTTCGAGCATGATGGTTTAGCTGTAGCTGTACGATGTTTTGACGAGATCGTAGTACAAGACTCTTCCACCCCCCTGGATTATGATACGCTTTCAAGGTATAAGCATTCGGTGAGAGGAAGCTGATTATGGCATATATTTTATGTTCTCGTCTCGTGTAATAATGAATTTTCAAGAATAACCATGCAGTGGCATATAGCTTATAGCTGTAACAAGAAAATATGCATAAAACACCAAAACCATTCATGTTACAGAAGCATCGACTAGTCTTCTGAGAGTGAGGCTGTGCACTTCTAGCTATCTTTGTCTACAGAATAGTTGCCATACTTTCCATCACGAGGGCCTTCGATGTCTCATCCGCATCATCCCATGCACGCCGGTGCTAGTGAAATGCAGAAGTCCATCCAGGTGTCCAAACACAACATACCAGAGACAGGACATCACATCATAGGTGTTCCTGGACTTCGGAGGAGAACAGAACCCAGTACATGGGAACGAGGACACGGGAGATGTACATCTGATGGCAGGAAGCAAGATGTCATCAAAAGTTGAAGCTTCGTTGAAAGCCAATAGAAGTACTCAGCGCTAGCATGACGAGATGCTGAGCAAAAACTAATAGCTATGTGTGTATGGGTGCGCACATTTGAAACTGTGTTTGTTCCGAGAAAGTCAAGTCATGCATGGAAAAGAAGTTACGTACGACGTTCGAACATGGACCACGCGGAAGACGTGTGTGAGTGAGCGGTGTAGTTGAGTATGGTTGAGTAGGCAGCGATTTAACTATCTCACCGTGGCACATGGAATACGACAAATCACTGCGGCGTGATCGGATCGATATCACGAATGTTTGATGGTCACCACCTTTTATAATGATTTACATACAGACTGGCACAGGGATACAGAACCCATTACAATGGTAAATATCGCCCAGAACTATTGTCATTGTTGTAAATTAACGTACCAAGGGATAATTGCTGCCAACAGAGCCACACACCAAGCATAGCCTCGAATGGTAGGCACCAAAGGCAGCTTAGTGTTAGCAAAGTAATTCATATTTTTTCCAGTTTGGTCACCTCCTGGGGGTAATCAATCGACGTGGTAGAACCTGCACAAGGTCAAATAAATCAGTTGGAAACCTCGCTGCATTCAAATAATCCTTTACATGGTCAGGAATCTTTTCATATCTGAATAGCACGATCACTATGTGGGAGAACTTGCTTAACAGAATGTACCCGCATATAATTACACTAGCTGTAATGAATAATTTACTCAAGAGCGAAATAAGAAACTGACAAGAATCAAATTAGAAACCGGCTTCACAATAAAAAATATGCTTACCAAGGTCAATGATGTCCCATCCTGGTCGTCCCAAGTTTGCTGGTCATCCCGACAAGTCGCAATAACGATCTTTGAACCATCCATTCTAGGGCTGAGCGGACCAAAAAAACAAAGCCAAGACTCACCACATCGCATTTATCCTTGACCTCGGGAGGAGGGCAAAAACCAGTGCATGATGCTATCGGGGATGCGCATCTTGTGATGGGAAACGAAATGTCATCAAGCCCGAAAGACCAGTCCGTGCCTCCACTTTTGGGCTGCGCAACCACTGAAGCACATGCACAAGTGAGCCTGATGACAGTCGAGGAGGGTTGGGGTATAGAAGTGAGGAGTCACGTACTCATCGCATCACTACGCACTGCGACGACAACGGTCAGCGCTAAGATGGGTTTAATGTGGCTGGCCTATCCGGAGTGACTCACCAGTCATCCCAAACTTTGACCGTGTTCGTCGGGGGCCTTTTGAAATCCAAGGAACATATACTCTGTTACAGAATACATGGTCCAGGTCTGATGATGTCATCAATAAATGCGAAACAAGACACCAGGTTACACACCCAACATAGCAGCGGAGTGGCATGCATCAATGATAGCCTGGCGTCAAGGTATCTATGTGAGCAATTCACGAAAAAGTAGTATAAGTTCAGCTTACTACGAGATTACTTCCCAGAGGTAACGGGTCGACGAGACAACTTCGCAGCTCCTGCACCCGTAAAGTACAGTGAGTGGCGACAAAAAGCGCACGAATCAGAGTGATTTACTGTACCAGCAATTTTTCCACCATCACATCCTATGATCACCCTTGGGCGAAACCTGGTAAAGATTCTATCAGCAGGATAGGATAGCAGGTCGTGCTCGCCCTGGTTATATTCCAGACTATCAATGTTATCTATCTCTTCTCCGTGACCAGAATCTGCGGGGGGCGTGTATCATCAGTACGGTAACCGGCACTCCCAAAAGAGGCCTTGTTTACAATGTAGAAAGAAATGATCTCCAGGCTGTGCATCATGGATCAGTTCTCTAATTCGCCCGAGCTATTTCAAGGCGCTGTTATCAGTCGAGTCGTGGGCGCAGAATATATGATGGCTCAGCTAACAATGTTCTGTCTATTCGGAACAAGATGGCTGCTTCCACTTGTCTTCAGGTCCAACATTACGGTGATATTTTTTCCATCGTATTTGTATATGTCTATTACACCGCGTTGAGAAATCCCTTAGGAAATGGGGATTATTTAGAAAATTAGCGTACCAATGAGGAGCTGCTTCAGCTCTAGCACACTTCGGTGTGATGAGGGAAGGGGGCCATACCCTTCCACATTTTTATACTTGATACCGATCAGCAACGCCTTCTTTCCCTGACGCCTGCGAGCAACAGATTCCATCAAGTCACAGTATATAGTTACGAGGCAAAAGCCAGGAGAACTAGAGAAGAGTTTGAGCTTTTATAAGAAATAGCGGTTGCTGGTGCACAACATACATCAATTGATCTGTAGGAATACTTGCCCTTGGGTTGTAGCAGTGTTGTTCCAGTCCTCCCTGGAACACAGTTAAAGTTGCAACTACTTGTAGAAAAATATATGAGATAGGATCCTACAGGTCATTCCAGTACTTATACTCACCCATAGTAACGATACGGATACTTTCCCAAACTAAACACGGGCTCTAGAATTCTCAACTACATCATTTTCCCGCCTTCGTTAGACATTATTCACAAGTGACAGGCTGATAATGGCATCAACCATTCCCACAATTTGTACGGACCTTTAATCTTAGACCCAACGTTTACGAAAGATATGTATATGACGGGCTCCAAGCTTGTCGTGCGGAAAATGAACGATAGCTAATTCAAAAGGTGGGTTTGAATGGATCGGCGTCGAATTCAGGTACCTCGCCGTGTCGATATTGCATACGTACGATAAAAAAGCGCCTATTACAGTTCCATTTGGGCATACGGAAAGTAGTTGTTTGGTTCCCGTCATCGCTGATTCTGCCCTAATCAGGGTCCCAATCTACGACGATCATATGGCACTGAACAAAAAACAATAAAGAAAAAAAAGTCATCGAAGAAAGGTCGTGCGACTGCTGGTGACTCACCAGTCAGAATTTGACAGAGTAATGATTGAGTGACGTCCAGGCTACCCGCTGAATGTAATATTGTTGGCATCGAACACTGCCTGTTGCGCCTTATTTTGCAGCCGTAGCTTATCAGCGAAAGGGAAGGAGAAGTCCTTTTAGGGTAGAGTCGGACCATACGGGCATTGCAAATAAGAATAGTCAGAGTACGCAGAAGCCACGGGCACGAGGCACCCTATACCAGTGCTTACGACAGACCAGTGGTGCGTATTGATCTGGGATAGTAATTTGCGTCCTTACAGAAGGACAGTAACACGGAAGCACTAAATATCAACCAGAGATGAAATAAAACAAACAACGAAAGACTTATACATCCGTGACACTTGTTACCTCGATGGAATGTTCCCAAACCTTCTTCCTAGTTTCCTCGTTTGCCCAAGCATTCTCTGTGGTGATCAACTCCCCTCGCGACCCCCTTCTAAAAGCGCCTTTGTTTCCTTCAAAAAGAGCATGCAACATGTACTCGGCACAATCCTCCGGCGAGAGTGACAAAGGATATATCAGGATTGCTAAAATCGGCGCGAGCTGCCGAAGAGGCCAATGCGATGCCTGCATGATGGAAGTGCGGACGGCTCCAGGGTTTATGTGAGTAAAAGCAATATCTGGCTCTCGTATACCAAATTCCTGTGTGGGACGAATATTCTCATTTAAATCTACCTTGTCATACGTAATGAGATCAGACGTACTTGTACCATCATATCATTGTATGAGCACCCCACGTTGCCAGCATTTGCCAGACTATAATTACTTTTGAGGCCTAGGTCATCGAGATAGACCTTCCCGCCATACCCGGCACCTAAAACTGTAATCATCTTTGCATCCTCTCCCACGTCCTTTGCCTTCCGTAGAAGCGGAAGTAAATCATTGGTGATCTTCCAGCGTGCATAGTAGTGCAACGCCAACTTCCTATCTATCCCTTCGTCGGTTTCGTCTCTGCCCTTTAAGGTCAATATACCAGGGGACAAGACTAAAAAGTTCAGCTTAGGGAGTCGGGACAAAAGGCCTCTTGTCATCGAGTGCACATTCTTCATGAGCGTGACGTCGCATTGTACAAATTCGTGCAGCGGTTGGATACCCTGGTCTGTCGTGTATTTCGGAAATGATGCTATGATGGACTCGGCGGCCGCACGATTTCTCCCACAGATGATGATATGTGCATTTCCCTTCGTGAGTTTAGCAAATGCCGTTGCCATTGCTTGTCCGATTCCTGAGGTTCCACCCACAAACATCGCGACCGGTGGGCTAGACCGAGTGAATGTAGCATTGGCGCTACGAACGGCGGATAAAGTCATAGATCCTGGCATCTGATGGAACATTTTAATATGTAGATGCACAGGAACCGTCAAGAATGCGAAATACACAACTTACACTTCCTATCTTTTGACAGTGAAACGTATTCCTATAGTAGGGGATTGTGGGGAGTCGCGCGTTCCAGACTACTTTTCTTTCTAACAGCCATTTATGCTGTCCTGTCGCAGGCAGACAGCCGCAGAACGCGTACGCTGAAATGCTTTCCTAGTAATCGCGGCAAGAATTCAAGTTGCCATCGGCAGAGGAGAACGCAATGAGGCGTGGGAATGTTATCTAACACGCAGCCAAGGCACAAGCCGCCATCAGCAATTGTTGCGGTTGCAGCAACAACATTTAGTGCAAGACATGTCTCTTCCTCGCTCGGATTATGACCCTAGAAGGGTTTGTCTTAACCCATTTCCTGACTTCAATTTTGGGAAACACCGTAGGAGCATTGGTATCTATCTAGCAGGAGCTTTGGTACGTCTCGTCTTCTTACTTCCAATCTCAAAAGCTCAGTCCAATTTATCACCAGTTTGCCCTCGCGAACTGGACTTTTCTCGATGCTGCAATCCTCTCAGCTCACGCACACTCCCCGTACGACGAACCCCAAATCCCCCCACCTGTTCATGTCGACTTCGTAGACTGGGTCCCCGGATTTTGCTCGCTTTTGGGGATGGTGGTTATCAACTTGATTGATAAAGATAGAATCAGAGGTGATGAAGGTTTTGGGGATTCTAATGCAGTATGGAGGGCTCGTCTCTTCCTCTTCATCGGATTTGCTCTCATGGCTGGAGGCTTGGCGGGCAGCGTGGTAAGCATCTTACAGTCTTTTCAAGTGGGAGTCCTCGCTGAACATCATCCCATGAACCAGTCACTCGCTGTCCTGAAATACGTCATGAAAGACTACGCTGAGCAATACACTTATTACGGTTATGCCAACGTATCTCAGAACGTGGCCTTGATGTTGTCCGCTATTGTCCTCTGGATCGCCCAGAGTGCTCAAAGTGAATATGATTATAACCTTACACTGTAATACCTTGGTATTTGCTTCTCGTCTCCCATATGTTGTAATCAATCTACTACTTACGTTTTGTATCGACATGGTTGCAGTTTATTACTGTTCCACAGCTATTGATATATTGATAGTTAGCGCGGGCTTTAACAGATCTCGTTGACTTTTTGTGAAGGGCTATGACATCAACATCCATCACATTGGTAAAAATCCAGGCTGACGCCATTCCTGTACTGTCCTAAAAGCGCCAAGTAACGCCTGGACTTCGACCCACCTCGGCCTATAAATCTCAGCATCAGACTCATCAAAGTGAGCACCCCATTCCCATGCAAAAACATCTACATAAGGAAGAACATCGAATAATATGGCAGCCACAATTCTGGGGTGGTTGATCTTCGAGTCATTTAGGCGAAGTGTATCAATATTAAGGTTGGATATGCCTCCTCCAGGTCGACGTTCAGGTTCTATATCGTCAACTCTTGTGGCATCGATGGTCAGGGATAAAGATGTAAGATGAGGGCAGAGTCCCAGTAATGTGATAAGACCGTTAACGGAGATCTTTGAGTGTCGGTTAGATCCACGGTCTGCCGTTAACGACAACTCAGCTAACAAGGGAAATGCGGACCCAATTTCTTTCAACGCATTGTCGTCCAGCGAAAACGAATAGAACGTTTCGAGACTGAGTATACGCAAACGATGAAGACCCAAAAGAGGTCGCAGTGTTTCGATGGTGAATACTTCCTCCGGCGCAGTGGATTGAAAGTGATCTTCAACCGATACATCTTCAAGAACCCCAGACGATTCATGGACAGACAGGTCGGTGAACAAATCGCATAGGCCCTCCGAACGATAGGGAGCATAAGGTGAGATCGTGATATTTGGCGGCAAGGATGAAAAAAGTGGGAAAAAAGATGTGCAAGAAGACAAGGAGTCTATGGCAACCATATGGATATGGTCAAGAAATTGGAATAGTGGACCATGCTCAGCTTGCCGGACGCTGTGATAGGTCAGATGTGAGGAAATCCTGAGCTGCAGAGACCGCAGAGAGTTCAACTTTCCCAAATGAAGGATCGCTTTGTCGTCAAGACACCCGACCCCACAGCTCAGCTGCTCCAAGTGCCTCCACTTGCATACAACATCCGATAATGCTCTCACTTCGTTTATACCACCAGCGCCCAACGGCCTCTCCCGCCAGACGCGCAATTCCGCTTTTTTGACTGATGGGCACCACGCAGCAAGGGAGGGGAGAACAGCTAGCTGTGCCGACCGCGATGCCTCTAAGCGTACATCCACTTTAGTAAGTTTTGGTCCAAAGAGAAGTCGTACGAAGGGATAGATTTCATCTCTTCTGTCATAGCACACCAGTTGGCGTAGCTGTGGAAATAATATCGACGCGGGTGGGATAGGCGGCATGCTTAACGCTCGCAAAATAGAGACATCGATGGTTTTGCAATTGCCAAACAAGGAGTCGTTATGGATGACGATGGATTTGACGCGATGGGCGTAGCGAACAAAGGTGCCCCAATCCGCGTTATCCATTGTTCTTTGAAAAGTCTAATAAGTAAGATGTTAATCAAAGTCGACTAGACTCGGATTAGCTAAGTTGAATACGCACAATGTGTTTGTTTGGACCCACTGACCACAAATCTCTTGATAAACATCTGATTAGCGGGATCAAATCGTTTAAATCAGCCCAAAGAGCATCCAGTGCTGGCTCATGAAAAACGCGACATGTCCTAGCAAGTCCAGCAAGGGTTTTAACCGGAATATAAAGGAATATTTCAGATAGTATATCAGCAAGAACTAGGCACTTGTGCATGATCTGTAAGTCGTAGACAAGAAGCACTCACTGGTACTGCCAGTGGTACTGCGTGTCAGCAAGTTAACCACCTTCCATATCAGGTAACCGCGCGTAAGCTGCCAAATACATTTGCATACCATTCAGACATAGCACCCACCATTGGCCTCCATCACGCCCCATCTTATCAGGTTGTACAGGTGAGTTTGACTTAGTTGAATTTATATTGACACAGGCTCCTCCCTATCTACTGTGGTGAGTGTCAAGAATATATCCCAAACTCCTAAACCATTCAGCATGGCAGAGAGGGAGAGAGGTCGTTTGCATTCAATAGAACGCTCCTTTTACTAACGTGAAGAGTCGGGGGAATGTTCTTCTGAGTATTCTGGAACTAGGCTTTTTTAATGAGCGCCACAGAGCACCTAGACGTTCAAGTTTGCCACGAGCCCTATCCTTGATAATCTTTCATGCGGTAGAATCCTGCGACATGTCCTGCACAGAGCTGCTTGATTTCCGTAAGTCAGCGTTAACATTGATTTATTTATAGAGACCAGAAAAATACGGAGACCCAAACAGATGGCTAATACGTTGAAGCTGATATTTGTTGCTGATGCTGAGCGCTTGAACACTGCTGTCACGGCGCCTTGATGGTTACGAATAATGTTCCACGAAACACATTAGCAAAAGTGAAAAATAGACATTGGCTAGCATTGAGTCGTTTCTTCTGACACTCATTATCCGATCAGATCTGTCTATGAGAGACTAGGCTAGCATGGGCTGTGGCAAATACACCGCGGTTGCTCGGTGATCAGGTAAGTCGGACTCATGAACAACGAGAGAGAGATCTGAGTACTGACCAGATCTGTAAACATGACTCGATGGATACAATTCAAGACCGTTCCGTACTTGTATGTTACTTAATCTGCTAACCTCTTGAGTCCTTAGTTGATTTGAAAGCAAAGTATGGCGATGAAAGTGAAACAAGAATGTAGGAAGACTGAATGGTGCTGGTAAGATTTAGGAGTCACGTGAAGAATAAAGACATAACCATCGAATTGTATTACAGGCGTGGGAAGCACAGCCAGTGATCGTCCTTTGATTCAGGTGATGCTCCACTTGCATGTGGGTTACGCCAGGTTTTACGACTCGAAAAATCTGGCGAGAAAAGCGAGGAACGCGAAATTGCATATAGTCCCGCGGCAGCAGCGAGTCGGGTAAATCTGAATATCTTTGGGACCCAGACTGCAAGGAACGAGTTCGATTTTGACGTGACGAGTACTAGTATGTTTTCCTCGAGGACCGAGGAAAGGTCAAATGAAATGGACTGCACTGGTAAGTTACGACACATTCGGGTTGCAGTGAGCTCAGATGTAAATGCAGTAGCTCTATGTAGCAACCGCTGGGCTGTGTATAGCTTTCGTTCAAACGTCACGGTCAACTTCTCCGATCACATATGTCGCAGCGCGATAACGAATGTTTGCTGGGGAAAATACAAGTTCTCTCTCTTTTGATCACCTGGCCACCTGCTATTGGGTTTTGACTTTCTACTCGTGTTTGGTATGTTGGGGTACACGGGAACCAGGTGATCGTCCTTGCACATTGCGGTAGTACCGCCAGCTACCTATTCATGATCGGACAACAACTCTCGAGATAATTATAGCACTTTGCCAGTGCTTTGTTAATCAATTTCACCTCGATAGAATCAGGGTTTCCGGGCAACAATTGGACCCCAATCTAATTCTAGCGGTGTAGACGCATGTCCGACAATTGACAGCTTGCGTTACTGCGTAAGCCTACGTATAGCTTCTTAGCTGCTTGTTTCAGATGATTTCGTCAGGTGAAATGTATCGAAAGCAAGGAGCACCTGACTGGATCTAAGGGCAATGTATAAAAGGCCAGTGCACAACCTCAGTTCATCATTCTCCAACAGTCTCCCCAACTCCTCTAAATCAATACAAATGGCTTTGCGCTCTATTCTCGCTCTCGCTACTGTTGCCACTATTGCCAGTGCACAGTCGTTAAACGTCGTTAACTCTTGCAGCGAGTCCGTCTTGCTCTTCACCCAGACTTCCTTCGGTACCATCGACAACAATGTTGTCGTCGCTGCTGATGCCAGTGCCAACATGGGAATCAGCTCCAACTGGGATGGTGCCATCAACGTCGGTATGTACTTCTTCTCTTTCATTTGCGCTCCTTCACTCATTCATCTCTTCCAGGTACTGGATGCACCAGCGATGGATCTTCCTGCACCACCGGTGGTCCCACCTGGGACGGTGTCACTCCTTTCAGTAGGGCTGAGTTCAACTTCGTAAGTGTTTTCCTCAGCCTTCCTCGATCAAATCATTGATTTTATTTCTGCTACAGTACGCCATTGCCGGATCAGTCACTTACGACATCTCCTTGATCTACGGTTACAACGTCGGAATGAAGATCTCCTCCGCTGACGCCAGCTGCGATGCTTACGCTTGCACCATCAACAACTGCGTAAGTTACATTCTTCTCATTGTTTCATACCGAGTCTCAAAGTTTCCATCATCGCGTAGCCCCTTCCCGGACCAGGATCAGACACTTGCTACTCCCCATGCTGCTCATCCGCTAGTGCTTGCTCTGGAGGTGCTCTTCCCGCTAGTGGAGGAGGATGTGTCAACAACGCTGGCCCTGGCCCCAACTCTGCCTTCTACTACACCACCTGCCCCAACGCGTACGCTTTCCCTGACAACGATGGTGCTGGTAAGCATTCTGCCTATCTGAGTGATCATGCCCATAACTAACTTCACCCTTTTCAGGCGGCTACACCCCCGCCGACAACGTTGACTACACCTGTAGCAACACCGCCATCACCCTCACTCTCTGCCCCGGCACCACCTCCAACATCCCCAAGAGGAAGTAAAAATGTGCCTGATCTTTGGCTAATTTGAGATTGTAAAAAAGCCAGGGGAATCCGTATTATAGTTTCTGGTATTAGTGGGTTTATAATTTGGTTTATATTGTGGGAAAATCTCGGTGTGAACCTCGCTATCTCCGACTGTAGTTAACGTTCCACTGTTCAGCAGCATGTTTCGGCGATAAGAGCCTGACGTGGAACATCAATAAGTCCTATTTGTTATTCAAAACTTGTTTCTCAACACACTGTCGATCACCATCTCAAACACGTGCGCAATGGTGACTGCGTGATGGTTACTACACCTGATAGTCTGATAGCTTGCTGATAGCTACACGCACAACTGACTACTACATCATACGCACCATCCCAACACATCATTTTCAATTTCACTGAAAGCCTCGGTATGAACGTAACAACAAACAATCATGCTCTGTATCTGTTCCTCCAGGGAGATCACTACAGATCATACATTTAACGCTCATAATAAGGACACAGACTGGAGTATGAACTTGTAAGACCGGATCTGTGTAGATGGCCAAGTCTGAGACTACTGCAAGGGTCAATCAGGGTAAAAGCTGGAGGGCTTCACTGGCAGCTGATCGCCGTAGCGACCATTCTTTAACACCTTCCTTAACGATAACGGCAAACTTGATTTCAGCTGTGGAGCCTTGAGATCTGGAGAGTGGGGTAACGTACTAAGCAATCTAGATCGAAGTAAAAAATTAGCTCCATGAGAAGATAAGCTTGGCTCCAAGGGCTACGCGAAAGCTTATAAGACTAGAGATTGCAGTTACATTTGCCAACGGCTAACTCAGAACTTCTGAAATTCTAGCATGAAGTCAGGCAATTGGAGGATATGTTCGATTTTACCGCATTTCAACAGTACAAGAACATAACCATAGGCATCATCATATCACATGGATAGATCATTGATAGTGCTCTGTATCTTGTAGATTCAATAAGTTAAAAATATTATATCACTTTGTTGGCATATTATATACATTACAATAGATTCTTCATTCTTACAGTCACTTTCATTCAACTATTCCGATATTCTGATAGATTACATAAGTTTCCTAATTAGGATACAAAAAAGCGCACCCAACCTACCTTAGACACCTCAGTCATTTACCAGAAAGACTGAGGTACAGTAAACATTATTATTGCAGTTAAACCCATACTTACACATTCCTTTAGAGTCTTTTACTTTACAGTTCTGGTCATCACATCACACTTTTCGTTGTCTGTAGTAAAAGAATAACTCTGAATTATTGTTAGTTTGTTTTGATAGTCTATATTGCAGTTTGTCCTACCTCATCCTATTTGTAGAAGACTGAGGTAGGTGTCACTGTGATGTCCAATGCCTTAGTCTGTTAATAATTCTAAGTGAAACTCAGCCACTGCCTGAGAGGCTATAGAAATGACTGAGGTATTCCTACACTAAACCCCCTACTACTTATAGTCGGAGGTGCTACTCGCTACAGTATAATGACTCCTAGGAGTACAATGGTGACTCCATGGAGTGGTGGCTATGCTCCATGGAGAACAATGGCTGCTTTAGCAGAGACCGGGTTTATCCGATTTTGTCACTCCACTCGAGTGCAACCGTAGTCCCATAGCTTTAGAGAATTTCCAGTGTTTTTTGTGAGTGAGGGGTTTAGTGAGAATGTTGGCAACCATATCTCTCCTGTAGGAACATATCCGATTACCACCTCTCCCTTTGATACTAAGTCATCTTGGATAAAATGATATTTCCGTTGAATGTGTTTTGTGCGAGCACGGAACTGCGGATCTTGTGTAAGAATAATAGCTGCTTGATTGTCACAGTGCAATGTTGTAGGTCCTGAAGGTGTTGAATGACTCCTCGGAGGTGTTGTATGCCTTCCAGAAGCTGATCCAATGGACAGGTTGTCTAGCTGTATTCGGACTTTTTCCACACTAGCTGGCTGTATGTTGAGGGGCTGTCCTCCCACTGACTGTGACTCTACTTTGGGTTTCCATTCTGAAGATGGCCAGTGTTTGGGTCTTGGTTGTAGAGACTGTTGTGGAGGGTGTCTTAGCTGATCAGGTGCTCCCACTGCTCTCAGAACGTCTCCACGGAGGTATTGCCCCACTGCTCTCAGAACATCTTCATGCTGATATGGTTCCATTGCTTGTGGAACATCTCCTTGGAGATGTGGTTCTATTTGCAATTCATTTGGATCTTGGATCTGAGGGTCAGGATCATCCTCCTCCAATGTATTTTGGTCTGGATAGTAAGCATTCTCTGGAATGGGTCCCTCCCACTGATCTGTGCTAGGGTCTGTGTTCCAGGTAGCAGTGTCGTCCTTTTGTACCTTTCCGGATTCATTGAATATGACATGCCGACTGGAAAACACAGTTCGTTTTTCAGTGTCTAGGAGTTTTTAGGCTTGCTTTCTATGTGTATAGCCAACTATCAAGGCTTTGCGCCCCTTGGAGTAAAACTTCCCTTGCCTTTTGTCTTTCGGAATCAAGGCATATGCTTGGCATCCAAAAGGGTGAAACAAAGTTGGATCAACTCTCCTTTTAAACAGTATGTCATATGGGGTCTTTCCATGGAGTCCTGATCCTGGGCTGCATGCTGTGATATATGCAGCTGTTTGCATGGCATCTACCCAGAATGACTTTGGGAGCTTGGAATCATGGAGCATAGTGGTTGCTAATGTAGCCAATGTCTGATTCATACATTCTGCAATGTCATTTTGTTCTGGAGTATCTACAGCTCTAGTTTCTTGGATGACACCATCTCCTTGGAGTTGATTTTTGAATGCATTGCCGGTATATTCTCCTCCCCCATCGCTCCGGAGGAATTCTGTGTACAGTGGAGTGAAGTTCTCTTCTCCCAAATGAGTTTGGAAGAATGTTTGGACATCTTCTTTCCATTGCTTATATTGTTCCAGTGCTTCACTTTTGTGTTTTAGGAAATATATCCATGAAAATTTGGAGAAATCATCTACAATAATAATCCAGTACCAAAAACCCTCCCTGGAGGTTGGTTTGATTTGTCCTCCAACATCTGTGTGCACAATTTGTATGGGATGCTTGGCTCGGTTTCCTCCAGTGGACTTGAAAGGTAATTTCTTCATCTTTCCTAAAGCACAAGGTTCACAAAACTCCGGGGTTCCGGTAAGGGTGTCTATGTCCTGGAGCTGTCCTTTTGTAACCATTCATTGCAAGTGGTGTCATGCACCGAAGTTGATTGGTAGCATGGACAGGTGTCAAGAATGAAGCGAATATTCAAAAAGACTCACCTTTGCGTCACACGGGCACAGTGCCACATGGAATAGTAATTAATATTGCCTTTTTGAATTTGTGGCTGATCAGCACCACCTCTATTAGGCAATCCAGTCGTGTCCACCTTTGCTTTTCCATTCAGTACTTTCCGCATTTCAGCATTTCGGCAAATTTTTGCGTTGCCACTGGCTACACATTGCACCCTCCCTTTCATTGCCCTCCCTTACCTTTTTTTTCTTTACTCAGTCCCACCATGGGACCCTTACTCTCTTTTTTATTCTCACCCAATAGTCGCTTCTGGATCCCTATTCTGGTTCACCTCCTTGTCACCTCCACCTTCCTCCTCCTCATCTTCTTTGCTCCCCCACCATTTCTGATGTCACCACTTCCTATCCGCTTCTATCGCCGATCCGTTGACTACCACATGCCACTGCTGATATCAGCAAAGCCCCGGTGGTGTCGATGATGAGAACTGCTGTTAGAAAACCACACACAAAACAAACTAACACACAATCCTCCCAGATTCCACGGAACTTGTTTATGGGCTTTGCCTCCTAGAACAGTGGAGTGGTCTGGTTGTTCGTGGGGTGGTACGTATAAAGATCCTTCAAAGTAAAACCCAGAGGTGTATGAGTGTGGGTTTTGAGGAGGAGGGATAGTTGAATTTATAGAAGGATAGGGGCTTTGTGGCGAGTATAGACAAGCACTACCTTGCTAATCGTAGCACAAGGTAGGTTTGAGAACAACGAGGATGACGAGGTGACGAGGTTCCCAGTGATAACAGGCTCCTGACGCACAAACTGTAGTGCTCAGAAGGACTCTAATCGAAAGGGATGACAATGACTTCAAAAGTGGGAAGTGACGATGACAGCAGTTGACAGTGGTAGCAGTGGGAAGTGTTGTGACCACACTGGATCACAAGCAGCAGAGTAGTGAACTTGAAATTAGAGAAGAAGTCTGGAATTGAGTTCCTGTTTTTTTTACAAGGTAAAATACAGGGGTTTATATAGTAAAAGAAAAGTAGGCTATGCACAGTATAGCTGTGCAAAAAGAATGAGAAAGAACATGAAGGAAGGAATGTACACTGACGAATCCTGCATAGGTAGTACAGGATAAGATTGTCAAAAAAAGGAAAAGAAAGGGATAGAACAATGAATGCTGTGAGTAATGTCACAGGTTTGTACAGCCATAAAGTAAAGTCCAATAGCAAAAAGAGAGCAGGAAAATCATGATGTCATGGGAAGATGCAGTAAAAAAAGGGCAAGGCAAAACACTATCAGTATCAACACAGTTCCTTTATTGTCAGTCAGACATTCTAAAAAAATATGTGTCCATAAAAATGATTCAAAAATCAAAAATAATCGCACTGTAAATGAATGTTCTGCTGAAAAAAAAAGAAACTGGAGCCACCAGTCCACCACCTAGTCCAAATCCGACAGTTCCATGGCCTTACCAATGGACTGCTTGTGTTGGACCACCTGATCAAATGAGGGAGGGAGAGGAGTAGTTCCAATTTGGAACAAGTGAGTCCCAGGCAGGGTGTGGTAGGTGTAGCTGTAGCGAAGACGATGGACAAAAGATAAGTGTACCCAAGTGAATGGGACAGCGATGAACATGGGCAACGCAAGGGGATGAACCTTCTCCAGCTCAAAAACTACCCACCCTCGCTCCAACCAGGCAAGACGAGCGGCCGATGTTTTGATAGTATATGATGGCAGATCGACGTCATGAAGATGGACCTGTTGCCCTATTTGGACCGGCCGCCGGGGCATTGCTGATATCAGCAGTGGCACATGGTAGTCAACGGACCGGCGACGGAAGCGGATAGGAAGTGGTGACATCAGAAATGGTG